CCCCCCGTGGTTCTTTTCCTCAGGAGTTGCTGAAGCAGACGGCGCTGGTGCTGTCTGCTCAGGTGGCGACACCTGGTGGTGGCTTACGAATCTGCAGGGCGGGTTATGGTCCTGTGTTGGATGGTGGGATTTCAAGGGTCTCAGTTGCTTAGGGTGTCCTTCCTTCAGTCTTCTGAACCCTGCTTCCTGCGGTCGGTCCTGCACTAAATTTGCTTGGCTGCCCTTCCCCAGGCTCCAGTCTGGAGGGCGTAAGAATGAGACCTGGTACATCAAAGCCTTCAGCCAAGATCTTCAGCTCAGGGCAGGGTTGCCTCAGGAACTCTGGGTGTTCCTAATATTATCAGAAAAGATGTCCAGTGTCCTATGCTAGAGCCACTCGGAGGGAGATCATACATCATTAAACACTTATAAAAACTTTGCCAAAACTCATGAAAGTACTTATTGTTTAATTCTAAGCAGAAGAAAAGCATTTTTTTTTAAATATAGCAGAGCTGTACACTATTTGCTCGAAACGACTGGAGAGAAAGATGTCAAATTGTGAAAGTGGAAGAATTATGGACAATTTCTTTCTTATGCATTAGTTTTATTCTTCTTCTCCTTCTTCTTTTTCCTTTTCTTCCTCCTCCTTGCCCCAACTCCTTCTTCCTAAGGGGCACTTTACCATTGAGCTACTTCCCCAGCCCTTTAATAATTTTTATTTTGACACAGGGTCTTGCTAAGTTGCTGGTGCTGGCCTTGAATTTGTAATCCTTCTGCCTCAGGCTCCTGAGTTGTAATTACAGGTGTGAGCCACCATACCTGGCCTGTTTTTCTTCTTTAAGGTTTCTATACTTTCCAAGTTTTTTTTTTTTTTTTTTGTACTGGGGATTTGAACCCAGGGGTGCTTAACCAGTGAGCCATATCCCCAGCTCTTTTTATATTTTATTTCAAGATAGGGCCTTGCTAAGTTGCTGAGGCTGGTTTTGAACTTGAGATCCTCCTGCTTTAGCCTTCTAAACTGCTGGGATTACAACAATATCCATTGTTGTCTGTTGGTTGAATATATTATTGTCTTTTAAAATTTTTTTTCTAGTCCTAGATGGACACCATACCTTTATATATTTATTTTTATGTGGTGCTGAGGCTCAAACCCAGTGCCTCACATATGCTAGGTGAGTGCTCTAGTTTCTAAACTTTCTTAAGCAAAGTATTTATAACTTGGATTAAAACAGATGGCTGCCCCAGGAGACTGGGCTGTGGCATGGGAGAGGCTCAGCTAGGCCCCTGCTGGCCTGGGAGGTGTGAGGCTGGAGTGTCTGTTGGGATTGTGCCTGCCAAAGGGCTCAGGGACTCCTTTGAACAGTGTGGGACTCAGGGTGGGGTTGAGGTGGGCCCTCTTTCACTTGCCTCTGTGGGGCTTGTCGGGTGATGATCATCCCTTGTTGATATGGATGGTGCCTCTAGTTACTCTCCTCTTAGCAGAGGATGTAGTGGGGGCAGGAGTGCTTCTAGGAGGGCAGGAGTCAGTAAGGTGAGTGGCAGCCCAATGCTGGCTTCCTGCTGAGCAGAGCAGAGCTGAACTGTCTATGGAGAAGGAGGGCAGGTCCTTGGCTGAGCAGAATGGTTAAGGGGAGTTTTTCTGAAGACTTGAAAAATCCTGCAAGAGAAGTTGGATCCCTGATTCCAACTTAATCCTCATTCACCCTCATGAAGAAGCTGCTGTGGCTATTACTACCCCTCCTTACAGATAAGGCAACTGAGGCACAGGGAGGTTACATGTCTTGCCCAAGTTCACCTGGCTCCCGGATGGTTAGAAACTGACCCCAGATTCTGTGCCCACAACTACCTGACTATGCTCAGGGGTCCCTGGGGGTGGCTTTTTCACACTCCCTGCAGATTAGATCCTTGTCAGCGCCCTGTTCCCTGGGGAAGGATGCGGGAGGACAGTGGTCTGAGGCCAGCGTACTAACCTGCTGCCCCATCCCCGTCTCTTCCAGGCCTCGCTGGTCCTGCAGGTGTCCTACATGCCGCTCCCTGGAGCTGTGCCCCTGTTCCCACCCCCTGTTCCCTTGGAACCATCCCCGACACTGCCTGACCTGGACGTGGTGGCTGGTGAGGAGCCCATCCTTTGTGTGACAGGGCCCTCGGCAAGAAGGCCAGCAGGGGTACCCAAGCCTCGGTGGTGGGGGGCTGCAGAGATACTTCCCAGCCTTCAGTGCCTTCCCCAGATTGGGGCTGCCCAGGCGTGGAGAGGAGAGAGTTTGGGTGGTGGGGAGTCCTGAGAGCTGCCTCTGCCACACAGAGAGACGGGGCAGGAGGCAGGACTTCCTCTGTGCTTCTGAGGGTGGTGTGAAGACACCCTCCCAGCTCCAGCTGCCCAGGGCGGGGGCTGTGCATGGTGGGCCCTCTGCTGTACAGCTCTGAGGTGTATGTGACTGAGTGAGGTCTGTCCAGGTTATACCTAAGGCCCCACCTGCTCCCCAAAATCTAGTGCTTCCCTCTCCTGGCCCCAATTGGCCTTTAGCGATGACATGTGACCCAAGAGCTAGTTTTTCTTTGACAGAATCCTGGGATACCATTAGGGGACGTGAGTTCCAGTCTTGCCTTTGACACTGACTTTGAGCTGGTCGCTCTCCCACTCTGGGCCTACAGATTATCATTTGTGGAATGAGCAGGCTGAATTAGCTAAGTCCTGGGCCTGCCTCAGTTCTCTTGCCTCTGGGGGGGCTTGTCAGGGGATGATCCAGGCCAGAGGGCCTGGCTTGTCAGTGAGGGTCGGGTGCAGGAGCGGGCAGGGCCTCTGCGTGGTCAGCCTGCTGGCGTAGGGCAGAAGCTACATAGATGGGCCATGTGCATTTGCCAGTGGTGAAGAGGCTGGAGTTTCACCTGTTTTGAAGAGGGGTAGAGGCAGCACAGCATGGAAACCGGAGCAGTTTCTGCTTTGGCTGGGTCTTACGCCTGGCTGGGAAGCCAAGTCCTGTGGAGGGCTCTGTGGAGAAGGAGGCAGAGAGGGCATCTTCCTGGGGCCCGGCATTGTCTGAGCTAAGATGGGAAACCACTCTGGACTGGGTTACTTGAGAAGTCCAAGCTGGACTGGAGCTGGAAGAGGCTCAGGGGGAGGAAGAAGGGCGTTCTGAATGGTAGAGGAGGGGGAGGAGGAGGGCCCCAAAGACTCTAGGACCCCCCGAGGTGAGTGAGATAGAATTAGGTTTGGGCCAGTTGGGGTATCAGTCCTGCCTGCAGAGGTGGTAAGGAGGGACACTGAGCTTTGCCCTGAGCTGGGTGGGGGGGACAAGCAGGGTGGCGGTTGGGGGTGCAGTAGGTGATCTTCCCTCACTCGGCTCCCTCCTGCCCCTCCTCTGGGGCTGTGCCCTGCTCATGTGCCAGGTGGGGGACAGAGCCGGGCCGAGACTTGGTCCCTGCTCAGTGACAGCACCATGGACACAAGATATTCTGGAAAGAAGTGGCTGGTCCCCACGGGTGAGATGCCAGCCAGAGCTGACCCCATCCCAGACACTACCACCTGTAACCGACTCACCGGACACTGCTGCCAGCCCGCTGGAGTGGGGCGAGGCGGCTGGACGGCTCCTCTGCAGAGCTGGGGGAGGGCCAGGGCCATTCTTGCTTCCTCCTGTCCACTAACTGAACTGATAGCCTCAGGATTCGGCTGTTGGCAGCCTCTCTTCTTCCTACCTGTCCACCCTGGCTCATGATGGGACGGGGAGAGGGAGGGCACAGGCAGGCGGCAGTGGGTCTCAGTGCTCGTGCTCTCTGGGTCCTCCCTCTGCTGGGCTGGGTCCCAAGGGCAGGGCCAGAGGACCCAGAGCTCATTGGGGCCCTGTCCTCCCAGACACAGGAGGGGAGGAGGACACAGAGGACCAGGGGCTCACAGGAGATGAAGCAGAACCATTCCTGGATCAGAGTGGCACTCCAGGCCCCGGGGGCCCCACCACCCCCAGGAAGCTGCCTTCCCATCCTCCCCCCTACCACCCGGGGAGCAAAAGAAAGAGAAGTGCACCTCCATCCAGAAAGCCCCTGTCGGACAAGCAGCAGGACTTCCAGGTGATGGGGACATTCTGGCACCCTGATGGCTTTAACCCATCAGCAGCGCCTGGCTGGTGTGTCCAGCCTCGGGGGAGCTGCTCCTGGGACCATGAGGGCCTCCTGGTGGGAATCTGCTTTCCCTGGGTCCTGGGCAGCTACTGAACAGGAAGTTTAAGTCTTGGGGCTATAGCACAAGCCTCTGCTCAGGCCCAAGGCTTTGGAAAATACCTCACTCACCCACTTTCTTATTGTTATGATAATCTGTCCTTCCATGACATGCTATTTTTAAGAAGAGTTAATAAATAACAGTCGATTAGAAAGTTGGACCATTGCACATCTTCTTTTTTCATGAAAATTACTTTAATATTCTAAAACTTAATATTTTAAAATACTCAACCTAATGTTTGGAAGTACAGATGTTCTCGAATTCTTCATTCACTTACAGTTCAATGGCAAAAATACTTAATTTATGTCCCAGAATGTAAAAAAAAGCATTGCATCTAACAATATAAAGAACAGGAACAGGGGACCTACGGACAATAGCTCAGGGGAAGAGTACTTGCCTTGCATTTGTGGGGCCCTGGGTTCAATCCCCATCAACACACACACACACACACACACACACACACACACACAAAATGAAAAAGAACAAAGACTATTTATGGAGTCACTTCAATGCTTGATTTCTAAGGGAATTGTCAGCAAGGACTGTTCAAGAGTCTTTAAAATGTCAGTGTCAATAGGGTCTCAGGTGGGGTTTGTGCTGAATGAAGAGAGTGGGGCTACTCCCACCCTCCCATTGGGATCCCAGGGGGTTTACGCAGGGCAGCGTGGCGGCTCTTCTGCAACTATGGGATTTTATAGATGCCAGGGATGTTGGTAGGAGATATGCTTGTTCTTAGAATGCTCTTCCTAAAACATTTTAAACAGTCTTTCCAAGAAGCCGGCTGGTCCTTGAGATTTGTGTCTCTTGGGGCAGAGGGTGGGTGGTCCCTCATTCACTTTCTCCCTTCCTCCTTCTCATGGTCCCTGCTGACTTTCAGATCAGAGTCCAGGTGATCGAGGGGCGCCAGCTGCCGGGGGTGAACATCAGACCCGTGGTCAAGGTCACGGCTGCCGGGCAGACCAAGAGGACTCGGATCCACAAGGGAAACAGCCCTTTCTTCAACGAGGTGGGAGACACCGGGCAGTGTTAGGGCCAGAACCTATGTAGGTCTTCCAAACGGGGAGCCCAGAGCTGTTTATTCAGAGTGTTCACCTGGAGTGCTAACTTTGGTTCAGCAACTGGAGAAGGACTCCTGCTATTATTCCTGCCCAGGGTCTCTCTGCTCCATGTCCCTGTCATCCTGTAAGGCTGTGCCTGAGATGATATCCTCTGTGGGGTCATCTGTGGCAGACACCCCAGAACTTGTCAGATTCCCAGAGCTCAGCATGGAGTTGAGCTCAGCCCTCATTTCCTATGTGGGCTCTATTCCCAGGCTTGAAGGCCTCTGGGTGCTCATCTTCCCCCTGCCTGGCCTGCGGGGTCATAGGCACTGATTTGTCTCCCTTTTTCCCTGGACCAACAGACTCTTTTCTTCAACGTGTTTGACTCTCCCCTGGAGCTGTTTGATGAGCCCATCTTTATCACAGTAAGTCTCAGCGACCCAAGCGTTCTCCACGGGCTCTGCGTGCACATGTGCTCGTGCGAGGCATTGTCCGTGTGTGTAGGTGCACATCTCAGTGTGCATGCCTGTCAGCATCGTCGGTGAGTGTGAGTGTGTATGTGTGTGTGAGAGAGATACGGGTTAAAGTCTGGCACCCGGAAAATGTGGACCATTCGCAGCCAGCCTCTGCTGGGCACGGGAGCGCCCACACACCTCAGCTGTGGCCTTCCCTAGGTGGGACACCTCTGGTTGGGACACCTCTGGTTGTCAGGTGGGACACCTCTGGTTGTAGTGGACGCCTTGGTTTTCATCTTATTTTGTTTGTCCATGGGCCTGCTTTTGGCCAATATTTTCTTTCTCTGAGTCTTCTCCCACTTGGAAGGTGGTATATTCTAGTGGTTAAAATGAGGGCCTTGGGGCCGGATTATCTGAACCCGAGACCCATTTCTGCCCCTTGCGGTTATGTGATTCTGTACAAGTCCTGTCATCTCTGTGCCTCTAGTCCTTCAACTGTGCAATGGGGACAAAAAAGAGTGCCTACTCAGGGTACTATTCTTGGGAGCACTATTCTTGGGAGTACTATTCTTGGGAGTACTATTCTTGGGACTCATTTAGAACAATCTGGACTAGAGTAAGTGCTCATTATTGGCTCTTCTTATTTGGCAGAGAAGAGCTTTTGGGTTGAACCCTGTCTGGGTCACAATTTCACTCATAGATGTGGATTTTAACTGCTCTTTCCTCCTAGGTGGTAGACTCCTGTTCTCTCCGGACAGATGCGCTCATTGGGGAGTTCCGGGTAATCGTTCATTTCCTTGCGATCAGTCAGTTTTCACTTACCTGTGTTCCTGGAGGCGCTGTGGGTTTCCTGCAGGGCCTGGCTCTCCAGAGACCTTGTGTGCCTGGGTCTATGTTGGGAAGATTTCAACCCCTCCCCTTAGAAACCCATCAGATTTCCCAACTCAGAAAACCTCTCCACAAAGGTAGCAGAGAAGTAGGACACTTTCATTGTTGAATAAGCATTAACTGGGGTGGGCTGAGCATCTCAGGCCATCTGCTGAGAGATTACCAAGACAGGAAGGAGTCTCATCCTTTCATGTAGCCAGTGGATTACATTATTTTCCATTACATTTCCATTTTTTGGAGAAAAACAATAACTAGCCAGGCATGGTGGTGAACACCTGTAATCTCAGTTACTTGGAAGATGAGGCCAGCCTGGGCAACTTAGTGAGACTCTGCCTCAAAGTTTAAAAAAACAAATAATAATAATAATAATAATAATAATAATAATAATAAAAGGCAGGCCGGGGTGCTGGGGATTTGGCTTGGAGGTAGAGCACCTCAAATAAGACAACTGGGTAGAACTGCTGGGCACACCGAGTTCATCCTAGGTTTGGTGGGTAATGACCATCAGTGTCAGCTAATTTACTTTATCCAGAGGAGAAAACAAGATTTCAACTCCTGTCTTAATGACAGGAGGTAGTTTTACAGCCTGGAGCATGGCACCCACTCAAGTCAGGCCGGTAGCTTCCCTCTGGGCCGTAGAAGGACCCTCTTCCTTGATGTTTACATTTCAAAGAGAAGATGCCCTTGGGGAAGATGTCTAGTCTCCATATTATAAATTTTATAAAATGCTTAGTTAGTTTTTAGAAAGCTACATTTCAAACAGATAAAGTACTTATATTTACTGGTTTTCCAAGGTAAAATGTATGACAGAAAGAGGAGAGCTAAAATCTTCCCCTATTTCCAGAAGGAAGAATTAAGCCTCTTCTTTTTAGTTCCTGTTTGTCTCTACATCTGGGAAGGCAGCGTCCACCCAATTCTGGCCAATGCTGGGACTGTGCAGCCTGGCACTCTCTGCCCTGACCTCACCTTCACGGTGGGTCAGGAATGGGGTTCAGCAGAGGGCCCTGAGGGAAGGAGCCCCAGACTGCTTATTTGTCCTGGGCAGCCCGGAAGGGAGCAGTCCACCTCTGGGAACCCAGTACCAGAAGCACAGTGCGTCCCAGAGGATGGTTCAACAGCTTGCAAAAAATAATTGCGTGAAGTGAGACAGACCTGCATGGTGCTGTGACGTCGTTTAGTGTGTTTCTCACTGATGTTCTTATTGGAGAATCTTTGAGGATTTATCAAAAGGAAAGAAAGAGTGCGGACTTATTTTAACCTGCCTCTGCTATCCAAATAAATGACCCCCTCCCCTCCTCTGGGAAGTAGCCACAAGATTTTCGAAAAACAGAATCTAATTTCTTGGTGAGGCATTTCTTTAAAGGAGTGGGTTTGAGTCTGAGTCATTATGTAACAAATGAAATCTTAATTATTTTGAGACTTGAGTCTTTATATTCTTGTTCTGAGAATCCCTGGGTCAATAAAGATATTTTTCTAGTTATTAATCTGTGATAAAAAACTTCCTATTTTATTTTATTTTTTGGGGGTGGGGTACTGAAAATTTAACTCAGGGACAATTTACTATTGACCTACATTCATAGCCTTTTAAAATTTTGAGACAAGGTCTCACTAAGTTGCTTAGGGCCTCACTAAGTTGCTGAGACTGGCCTTGAACTTACAATCCTCCTGCCTCAGCTTCCCAAGTTGCTGGGATTACAAGCATGTGCCATCATGCCTGGCTAAGACTTTGTATTTGAGGGAGTTTTATATTCACAGAAAAATTGAGTGGAGAGGCTGGAGTCGTGGCTCAGAGATAGAGTGCTCGCTCAGCATGTGTGAGGCACTGGGTTCAATCCTCAGCACCACATAAAAATAAAATAAAGATATTAAGTTCACCTATAACTAAAAAACAAATATTAAAAAAAATCAAGTGGAATATGCAGAAAGTTCAGGTGTACTCTTTGCCCTTCCATTGCCCCTCAACTTCCCCAACTCTCAACATCCTGATAATCTATGATTTTTTTAAAAAAAGAACACTATATATTTTGGATATTTCATTCTCTCTTTCTTTTGGGGGCATTAACATACTTTACCTAATTCTATAACAAATATATTCCATAGAGTGTCACGTGATGTTTTCCTTTGTCTCTAAAAGTTTTTAAAATAAGCCCTTTACTGGCTCCATCGAATGCACCATGTTGTAACTCTTCAGTGCTAAGAGTTTGACTTGTGTTTCCTTTGATTTCAGATGGACGTGGGCACCATTTACAGAGAGCCCCGTGAGTTCTCACCCCTTTGGTGTGTCCTTGCATGAGACTCTGGAGGCTGCTTGGGGACACTTGCTTGGGTGCTCACTGTCCCTCCCTGGGGGGTTTGGAATGGAGGCGAGGCTTTCTTGGAAAAGAAGGCAGGGGTTGCATCCTTCCTCCTCACAAAGCCATCAGGCCCTCAGGAAGATGCAATCCCCACCTGTGTCCGATGGCCCATTCAGGGTTGATAAACCTGGAAGGTCCTGGGGCCCGGGGTCACCTCAGATAGAGGCAGGTCATTTGGGTGATAAGTCCAGGGATTCTTGTCACTCTGATTTGGTCACTTTCTGAGGAGGTTAAAAATGGTTTAGCTTTGCCTCTTATAGAGATTTCTTTTAATACTTCTGATCTACGTAGATGCTCAAAGTTGATTGTAGGCTTAAAAAACCAAATTTGAGACATTTATTTACTTGCCAATATCACCCAGGCGGACCATGTCATGATTATGAATAGCTACGTCTTCTCCTCAGGAATAGACAGCCCTATTGAGTGACTGTGGCATGCCATGGAGAGCCATCTTTGGTCATCCTGGTGTTAGAGCTCTTGGTTTCTCAGCCCAAGGGATTCTAGGGTTTGGTTCTTTCCTTTCTGCCATGGATGAGCACTTTATCTCACTGTATGCGATCCATCCTGGGCTCCTGGACCAAGTTGCAGTCTTGGGTCTTCCCATTCCTCATCATTCTCTTTTAGGTCACGCCTATCTCAGGAAGTGGCTGCTCCTCTCGGACCCTGACGATTTCTCTGCTGGGGCCAGAGGCTACCTGAAAGCCAGCCTTTGTGTGCTGGGGCCTGGAGATGAAGCTCCTGTGAGTACCTTTCCCTGGGTCTTCCTCACAGCCCTTCACATATTGCTTGGTGGTGGAAGCACCCAACGAAAATCCTGAAGCTTAATTTTTTCCCCCTGATTTAAAAGAATGTATGATAATTATGAGAACTGTAGAACATGTAGAAAAGTATGAATAAAAAGGACTCGCTCATAAGTCTACCACTTGGAGAGAGCCATTATCAATATCTATCTTCTCACCTGCTTTTCTCAAAAACACGTGTGTATTTTTCTTTTTGCAAAGGGAGATCGTTCTCTCCATGATATTGCAACCTGAATGTTGTTGCCTCAGATTATATCATTATCATGTGGATGTGGTAATAGGTGAAGTTCTAAATCAAAGGAGGAAGTGAGGGAGAAAAGTGTGGCAGTCCCCATGAGGAACCAGGAAGAGAAGGGAGCAACCGCAAATTCAGTCTTCAGGTGTCTGAGGTCCAGAAAGCTGGGCATGCAGCCTAGAGAGGAAAAATATAATAAAGTTAGTTTAGGGATAAATTTTTAGTATAATTTTTGATACCAGTATAAAAGTGAATTCTGTAAATAATGATATGGGTGTGTTTAAGGGAAGAAAGAATTTTTTTTGGGCTCTGGTTTGTCTTTAGAACCCTGAAAGGGGTCCACAAGAGGACCCCTGGGCAGTTCCTGGGTGGTAATGATTTATGTTTGGGGCAGGTGGGCAAAGCATGTTTCCTCCATATTGCAGAATAAAGCCCTGCTTCCTGGAAAAAAAATGAGGAGAGCATTCAGAGCTGGGAGGTGTCAGCACCCTGTGTATCTGGCACTGTTGTGGCAGAAAAACAGGCAGAGCAGCTGGGTGCAGTGGTGCACACCTGTAATCCCAGCAGCTCCGGAGGCTGAGGCAGGAGGATCGAGAGTTCAAAGGCAGCCTCAGCAACTTAGGGAGGCACTAAGCAACTCAGCGAGATCTGTCTTTAATAAAATATAAAAAAGGGCTGGGGGATGTGGCTCCATGGTGACGTGGTTAAGTGTTCCTGGGTTCCATCCCTGGTACCAAAAAAAAAAAAAAAAAAAAAAAGGAAAAATGTTCCAGAGCAAGTTGTCTTATGAGACACCGCACTAAACATGGTAGGCTGAGCTCTTAGAAAAGGAAGGTCAAACACTGCACCCGAGAGCTCATGGAGCAATCATGTTTGGCTTGCTTTATAGCTGGAGAGAAAAGACCCCTCTGAAGACAAGGAGGACATTGAAGGCAATCTGCTCAGGCCGACTGGGGTGGCCCTTCGAGGAGCCCACTTCTGCCTGAAGGTCTTCAGAGCCGAGGACTTGCCTCAGAGTGAGTGTGGAGCAACCCCCTCCCCCATGGGTGGGCGCCTGCCACAGCGGTTGTGAGGACATCGCGAGGGTGGATCCCGGGAGGGACCATGGTTGGCTCCCCCCGGGAGAGGAAAGTGCATCAGCTTGTGAGTCCCTGGGGCACATTTTCATCCTCCTTCCCACCAGGGACCATCCCTTTGCCTCCTTCCTGCCTCCCTTTGGCCCGTCTTCCTCCTCAAGGGTCTGTTAGGGATCAGTGCTGGACAGCTGGCCCTCTGCTCTGCTGCCTGGCCAATACCTTGAGCCTTTCTAGGTTTCCCAAGGTTTTTTTTTTCTTTCCCTCTGTGGTGCTGGGAATTGAACCCAGGACCTCGTGAACTCTGGTAAGCCCTCTACCACTCACCCATACCTCCAGCCCAGCAATCAGGATTTAATGGAAAATAGCACACGCTGCTGGAGTTAACCAGATGCCAGAATCCGGAGCTTAACAGTGGCTGCTGGGCTCCATTCCGGTGTCCCCTGGCTCTTTAGCCACTCTGGAGACCCATTTTCTGGGTTCTCGTCAAGAAAGCAGTGCCATCTCAACACTGCCTGCTCCCAGGTCAGAGGTCAATGATGTGGGGACATCCTCGCTGGCAGAGCCTGGGCAGGAGCTGATGCTGGAGGGTTTGCAGGAGGCCTTCCTGGGACCATTTCTCTATAGATGAAGAATGCTGCTCCCCCAGTGGCTCTTCATCCCCCCATTACCTGGGGCTGTCCGTGTTCTAGCACAGAAAGTCCCACGTTCCAGGAAACTGTTCAGTCCCTAGCAAACTGGGACCTTGGATCACCTGACTTGTGATCATCTCCCACAGCCTCCCAGGAAGGCCCGATTCTCACAGTGGCTGGCCTGGTACTGGTCTCACCCTGTGTATTTAGTAAACCCTGGGGGAATCATACCAAATATTGGGGAGCCATGGGTACCAACCTCAGCTGCACAGTAGAAGAATCACTGGAGTGGCTTAAAGAAAGTACGGTGCCTGCCCCCGCCGCCGCCACTCCCAGCCTTTCAGATTCACTTGGGTTGGGGTAGGGCTCAAAGGCTTCTCAGATGATCCCATCAGGAGCCCATTGTGAGTCACTATTGCAGAGTGTGCCTTAGATTCATCAAGCCAGTCTTCTCCCCCAGCACTCAGTGAGAACATCTGCAACTTGGGTCCTCACTGACATGTCTTGCATAAAGCTCTTTGAGGGTGTCTGCTTTGATGAGTGACATCCATAAATGAAATGGGTTCCTTCTGTGCAAGCTTACTTGGACCAAAACCACAGGGAGGAAGCCTTTGAATAAGGAATGGGAATTCAGTGGCTATTAGAAGACCTGCTTAAAATCATTCTTTACTCATTGGCTGCAACTGTGTGGAAGAGAGATTAGCAAGCTTCCAGAAGGCAAGGCAAGGAAATGTTTGCTTTTCTTAAGGTGAACGAGCTTTGTGTTGTATTTGCTGCAGTGTTGTTTAAACATAAATAAAAACAAAATAGATGAGTAAACAGAACATGATTATTTGCTAATCGCGGTGACCCGTTATTCATGTCAGCATTAGAGAGTGTATAATCTTTAACTGTTCCTCTCCTCACACTCGTTCATGGCCATGTAAAACATAACATATAAAACATACTTATACATATGTATGTACATAACACATCTATCCATATATACATGTGCAAATAATCTGGCTAACTCAAGTTAAATAATTTGGTTTGAAGTATCATAGATTAAAAACTCTTAAAAGATCCCACCATTTGGGAGCCTGAGACAGGAGGATCGTAAGTTCAAGGCCAATTTGGGCAGTTTAGAGAGACTTTGTCTCAAAATAAAACATAAAAGGGGCTGAGGATGGAGCCCCACTGGGTTCAATCCTCAGTGCTCCAAACACAACGAAGCCAGAATTGACTGATTGGCTAACCTTAGGTAAATTACTCTGCTAATGGAAATAAAGGACAATGTCAACCAGAGTTGTGGCCTATACCTGTGATCCCAGGTACTTGGGAGGCTGAGATGGTGACGTGGGTGTGGGTGGCAGGTTCAAGGCCAACCTCAGTACTTGAGAGATTAAATGGGCTGGGGTGTAGCTCAGTGAGGGAGTGCTTGCCGAGCATGCGTGAGACCCTGGGTTTAATCCCCAGCATCAACAAAAACCAAACAGGAAGGGTCACCAGCAATGGGGTATTATAAAAACTTCCAGTCCTCTTTAAGATTGCTTACTATCCTTGGTCATGTTGATCTCGAATCAATCAAGCAGACACTTAAAGACTTGCTCTGCAAACTTCTTTTTTAAGTTTTTTCTTTCTTTTTCTTTTCTTTTCTTTTTTTTTTTTGTGGCACTGGGGATTTGAACCCAAGGCTTCATACCCTACCACTGAGCTACACCCCCAGCCCAGAGACCTGCTCTGAAACCTCTTGATGCTGAGGGGACAGTGGACAAGATGTCTGGGGCTGAGGAAGGAAGCAGCCCAGGGCTCTCAGGGGCTGTGGCTCTGCAGCAGTCCTCCCTCCTGGGAGCGCCTGGGCTGAGCCCCAGAGGATGGGGCCATAGTGTCTCACTCAGGTCGAGCCGGGGCTTCCTGGAGACGGATGGAGCAGAGTTGGGGTTTGGCATGGGGGATAGCAGGTGGTGATTGGCTTGTCCTTCTGCCCAGTGGATGATGCTGTGATGGACAACGTGAAGCAGATCTTTGGCTTTGACAGTAACAAGAAGAACTTGGTGGACCCCTTTGTGGAAGTCAGCTTTGCAGGGAAAATGGTAAGGAATGAGGGAGGGGGAGGGCTCCTGGAGTGGGGAGAGGGCTGGGCATCCTGCGAACAGGTGTCAGAGAGAACAGGCCAAGGTGAGGTACAGTGGAGTTGTGTGCATAGCGGGCACTGATCCTGGGAAGCACGCCCAGGTCTGACTCACTGGGCCTGCTGCCCACAAGAATGTGGACAGGTCTGCTTGGGGTGTCCAGCCAGACACCGAGGTGTGGATAGACCCAGAGAGGACAGATGGACAATGGATACACTGGTGGAAAATTAAGCAGTTGTGTGGAAAGCAGATGTGAAGGCATATATAGAGAGAAAGCTTTTTAAAGAAAAATGTGGAATGAGACAGGGGTGGTACACACCCAGGAGGCTGAGGTGGGAGGATCACAAGTTCAAGGCCAACCTGGGCAACTTAGTGAGACCCTGTCTCAAAATAAAATAAATAAAAAGGGGTTCAGGGATGTAGCTGAGTGGTAAAGTGTTCACTTAGCCCTTGTAAGGCCTGGGTTCAAAACATGATCATTCTTAACAGTTGTGGCAGGAGTCGGGCAGGGAAAGACCACTCTGGTGGGCACCCTAGGGATTCTTCACTGCCCAGGGCTAAGGCAGTTACACCTGTCCCCGTCAATTTCTTCCCCTGCCCTTCTCTACACACAGGCAGGTGCCTCCCAGTGTCTATGTCCACCCTGGGCTGCTCCCGGGCTTCAGCCATTGCCTCTGCAGCGGGAACTCTCACAGGTCTCTTTAGCTCTGATTCATCTTTCACCCTCAGCTCTGTTTCTGAACAGCTTTGACTCAGGAGTCATTTTCTCTGCCACCAGCTGCCCCACGTCCGGGAGCCTCCATCTTAACCAGGAATCACCACCCAAGGCAGAACTTGAACATGTGGGCCTGTCTGGACTCCTCCCTCTTCTCTCTCTATCTACAGTAAACATGCCATCTCTAGCTCTTGACCTCCAGAGTTGACCTCAAAGGACCCAGCCTTTCCCTGCATCCCCAGAGCCACTGCCACCTCTTCCCAGGACCACACGACAGTGTTCCCCTGCTGCCATTTTTCCTCACTATGATATTGACCCTTTGGAGACCCTGGCCACTTGTCCAAGTTCTGGATTTCTCTGATTGTTTCTTGCAGGTGTGGCTTAACTTGCTCTGCTGGCTCCTGTACTTTCCGTAAACTGAAAGTTAGGTCTGCAGACTCCATTAGATTCAGATGATGTACGTTGTCAAGAATTCGTCATAGACGATGCTCTAAATGTCATGTTGCAACGTGTCAGGAAGCAGTGATGTCAGGCATCAGTGTCATGGGTGATGACACCTTGAACGCTCCATTAAGGGGGTGCCTATGGATCGCCCCCTTGTAAAAGTCAGTGTCCTCCTGTGTAATTCCAGCACTCCGCAGGCCATAGCCTGGGCTCTGTGAAGGTATCCTATTTCTGATTGTATTCATTTCTGAGTAAATCATTTCCTTGGGGTTGCAGAATGATGATTTTCATTATCATTCCATCTCTCTTTATTAGTTGGCATTTCTCTGTGGAGAAAAGCTTTGATCCCCTTGCCCCTTTGACTATTACAAGGGACCACATTAATTTTATTAATTCAACGTGTTGGAATCTGTCATTGTTGGCTTGACGTACACATGATCCTGAAATTGACTATTTCGAGCCCTTCCATTGGTTCTTCATCCCCAGAGCTAATGCAGAGTCTCAATGAAAACGTTTTGGGTCCCGTGACTCAGGCTTTAAGCTCCTTCAAATGCTGCTGGCAGATCTTAACTCTGGTGCAGGTTTTGGTTTTTGGTTTGGGGTCTGCATCTGATACCCTGGACCTAACCTCAGGAAGGGCTGGGTCAGGATGCCCTTGTGGTCTCTTCTCTCTGCTCTCAATCACCTCCTCATGGACTCTCCCTGCTCTGCTCTGCAGGGAGGAGACAGGAAGCTATGGCTAGGTAGCTTTTGCTCCAAGGACTAGGATCAGTGTTTTCCACTGACAGGTGGAGAAGGTCATGCCAACCGGGGAAATTGTCTTTATTCCATGTTCCCCCATGATAGGGTGCTTCCATGGTGTGACACCCAAGACCAACTTCAACGGCCTGCTTTCCTTAGAGCCAAATCTCAGGAGCTCCTGCTGCTCCCGGGTCTTTTCCAGCCCCACTCCATCTCCCCTGGCCTTTTTTTCCTCTTGATACCAGGGATTGAACCCAAGGGTGTTCCACCACTGAGCTACCTTCCCAGCCCCTTTTAAAAAAATATTTTACTTAGAGACAGGTCTTGCTGAGTTGCTTGGGGCCTCACTAAGTTTCTGAGGCTGGTTTTGAACTCGTGATCCTCAGCTTCTCAAGCCACTGGGATTACAGGTGTGCACCACCGCACCCAGCTCCTGGGGCCTTTTGACCCTGGGAGTTTTGCTGGCAAGGTGCAGATGGCCAGGGGAGGTGAGCAGGGGTGGGGCCTGGCTGAGGCCCAGGATTGTACGAAGCCCGGGCAGCTGGGCTTAAGCAAGAAGCTGCAGCCCATGGTCCTTCTCAAAAGGGTGGTGGGAGTTGAAGAATGAGTTTAGGGCTGGGGATGTGGCTCAAGCGGTAGCGTGCTCGCCTGGCATGCGTGCGGCCCGGGTTCGATCCTCAGCACCACATACCAACAAAGATGTTGTGTCCGCCAATAACTAAAAAATAAATATTAAAAATTCTCTCTCTCCCCTCTCTCACTCTCTCTTTAAAAAAAAAAAAAGAATGAGTTTATAAGGAAGGGGCCCCTGAAACCTCCCCCTTGATAGTGTCAGCCTGGTCAGCCTCCTCTGTGGTCCTTGATCTTTGTAGCCTCTTCTCTCTGCTCTCAGTCATCTCCTTGTGGACTCTCTCTCCTCTACTCATCCCTCTGTTTGATGATCTTATTGCATCCTAATCTGATAAGTGCTAGGGTTTCTTCCTCTGGTTTTATCCATCTCCTCCTGGACATCTTTGCATTTCCTCTTGTGGGCACAAGGTGGCACTATTACCCAAGATGTGAACGGTTCAGATTTGACCAAGTTACTAAGGGGGATGGTGTGTGGTGTGTGTGTGTGTGTGTGTGTGTGTGTGTGTGTGTGTGTGTGCGCACGCGCGCGTGTGTACTTCATATATGGGAAAAGGCAAGGGGAGGTACTTGTAGGGAAGGGGTGGAGGTTCAGAAATTTTTTTCTAAATTAAAAAATATAGCCCATTACTTATTAAAAAGAAGAGTTGAAAAAAAATCAGAGAACAGGAAAATGAAGCAAAACCCACACCCAACCCATATTTTATTTCTGTGTCCCTCACCATCCCAGAGATAACCATGTTTCACCTAGGATCTGCCTGTGTTTCTTTCTGGTATGTTTTCCTGTTGATTTTCCCTTCCCTTCTCCTCTTCCCCCAGATGGATATTGGTTGCTGAGGTCCCGCAAGGTGCTGGCTCTGCCTCTTTCTTTCATCTTGTAGATGTGGTCTTTTTAAAAAAAATATGTTTAGTACCACTTCATAATTTTTGCATAATTATGCCTTTTTTTTTGGTGATTTTACTTTAAATTGGTTCCCAAGCCCAGTGCTGTAGTGGTGTCTGGTGCAGAAGGGCAGAGGTAGGTGAACTGGCCTTTGTTCACACCCCCAGGCACACATCCCAGTGGCTCTTTCAGAGGGAGCCTCCAAGGGTTGAAGTGTTTGCTGTGGAAGAGGCTCAGGCCTCCTCAGGGTGAGGCTGAATGCCCCGAGTGCAAGAAGCGCAGTGTAGACAGGGCTGTCAGCTATGGTATTTTGAGAGTCCTTTCTTTTAAAAAACTGAATTAGGTAATACCTCTACGTAGGAACATTCCATCTCTTCTGTTACCTACCTATCATTTCCCTGTCTCTCTGTACCCATTCAACACTACTCATTTCCTCCTTGCAAAGGAAACCTTTGTAGCTAGTTTCTTTTATATTATTTGGGTTTCATTATGCATATGGAAGTAAACATGACTGTAGATTTTTATCTTTTACTCTTATAATATAAATGACTGCACATTAGACTCATGGCTCTGCAGCTTGCTTTTTCTATATATTATTTCTAATAATATATAGCTTGGACATTATTTCATGTCTGTGCATTGAGAGGTCCTCATTCTTTTTCAGAACTGCGTAGTAGTCTATTGGGTGAATGGACTGTAATTTATTTAACCTGTCCTCTTTTGGATACCTGGGTTGTTCAGAATCCTTGCTAGTCCAAGCCATTCTGTGTTGAATAACCTCACATGTATGTCATTCTTCCCATGTACATGCACTTCTGTGGGATAAATGTCTAGAGGTAGAATTGACAGGTCAAAGAAAATATGTACTTGTAATTTAGATAGGTAGTGGCCAATTGCCTCCTAGAAGTATCAAGCTATTTCATTTTCCTACCAGCAAAATGTGAGCGTGCAGTTTCCCAACAGTGGGTTGTCAGATTATAGAGAATTTTATAATCCGATGATGAGAAATTGTATCTCATTGGTTTTATTTGTGGTTCTTCTATGATGAATGAGGTTGAACATCTTTTTAAAGATTTTTTAATTTGTTTTAATTTGTTATACATTACAATAGACTGATATATATATATAATGAATTGATTATATATATATATATGTACATATATATAATGGAGTATCATTTCTCATTCTTCTGGTTGTACATGATGTAGAATCCCACCAGTCATATAATTATGTATGTACATAGGGTAAAAATGTCTGATTCTTTCTACTATCCTTCCTACCCCCATACCCCCTCCCCTTCCTTCACTCCCCTCTACCTAATCTGAAGTAACTCTATTCTTCCCTAGCCCCTCCCCTCATTGTGAATCCACATCTGCATAACAGAGAAAACATTCGGCTTTTGTTTTTTGGGGATTGGCTTATTATTGGCATGATATTCTCCAGCTCCATTCATTTACCTGCAAATGCCATAATTTCATTCTTCTTTAAGGTTGAGTAATATTCCGTTGTGTGTGTGGACACACACACACATCCCACAACTTTTTAATCCATTCATCTGTTGAAGGCACCTAGGTTGATTCCATAGTAAAATCAAGAATCAATAAATGGGATGGATTCCAACTAAAAAGTTTCTTCTCAGCAAAGGAAATAATCAATAACGTAAAGAGAGAGCATTCAGAATGGCAGAAAATCTTTACCACCTGCACCTCAGACAGAGCACTAATCTCCAGGATACATAAAGAACTAAAAAAACTTAACACCAGAAAAACAAATCACCCAATCAATAAATGGGCCAAGGAACTGAACAGACACTTCACAGAAGAAGAAATACAATAGATCAACACATAAATGAAAAAATTGTTCACCATCTCTAGCAATCAGAGAAATGCAAATCAAAACTACTTTAAGATTCCATCTCACCCCAGTCAGAATGGCAATTATCAAGAATATAAGCAACAATAAACGTTGGTGAGGATGTGGGGAAAAGGCACACTCATACATTGCTGGTGGGACTGCAAATTGGTGCAACCATTATGGAAAGCAGTGTGGAGAGTCCTCAGAAAACTTGGAATGGAACCACCATTTGACCCAGCTACCCCACTCCTCGGTTTATTCCCAAAGGACTTACAATGAGCACACTACAGTGATGCAGTCACATCAACATTTATAGCAGCTCAATTCACAATAGCTAAACTATGAACATCTTTTAATGCTTCGCTGCCTGTGGTGTCTCCGTTCCTGTGAACTGTTTCATTTCTTGCCCACTGTTCCACAGCTGCTCTCTCATCTTTCCCTCCTCCTCCCTCTCTTTGCTAACACAAGGCCCAAAGTCTGGCACCCATCCCTTCCCCCAGCCCCACACAGCCTTTGCTTGAGCTCGTTTTACAGCGGGGAGGAAGGTGGGGCAGGGGTTGGCACTGGGTGGATGAGGGATGGAGAAAAAGCCCTCACTCTGGGGATCTGAAGTCCCTGATCTAACTCAGATGCTCATTAAATGAGATAATGCACATAAAATGCAGTGCTTAGCACGCTACATGGTCTATAGGAAATGCTCTGAAAAGTCTTGCCGGTTATTTTTATGTGCAGAACATGCAAACCCACCAGGATCTACTTATTTGAAACTGAGTCTTTACCTGCTGTGTCTGTGTGTGGCTACAGCCTGGGGCTGGACAAAGGGCCTGGTGCTCCCCATAGACCATGTGAGCTAAAGGCTTAGATCTTTTTCTGTTCCTGTTAGGATTCTTGTTTGGGACAAGCCTTGTCTTTAGGGCAGGGCTGGTCCGAGACAGACTGTGACTTATAGGGTTTAGATCTTCACTGAATTTTGTTTCACTCTCAGATGCAGGTGCAGGGCCCTGGCCCCCTTCCTGTCCCTCCCCCACCTCTGATCTCCACTCCCTTCCAAAGTGGAGAGTCATGTGGTCTGATGGGCAAAGGGAGGAGGGGTGCCTTGGACTATGGAGGCCTCTGGGATTCAGGGACCCCACATTTAGGATCACATCCATAATGAGAGGTACAAAAGGAGGATTTCCAGCCAGAGGTATGAGTTCAGGGTGGAAGGCTGTGCCATTCAGGCAGCTCACCCAGCTCCTAGCTCTGGGTCGGACCTCCCGCTGAATTTTGTCTATGTCTGAGTCCACTGTCTTAAGCCCAGGCCTAAGGGCAGTCAGCGTGGTGGAAAGTGGCCGCTGGCTGGGGTGGTCCCTGAGGGATCCCAGAGTCCCGTGGAGCTCAGTGCCCCTGTCCTCTGTGTCTCCCAGCTCTGCAGCAAGATCCTGGAGAAGACGGCCAACCCCCAGTGGAACCAGCACGTCACGGTGCCCGCCATGGTGAGCCTCCATCTGCCGCCCAGTGACCCTCCCCAGGAGGCCCTGGGACTTGGGGAGGTCCAGGCCCCTGTCCTCTCCAGCCTCCTGCGGCTTCCTGGACTTCTGTGTGGAGGAGGGGATGTCACTGTCTTCAAAGGACTACTCTCAACACGCCTCTTTTTCCCTCCTCAGTTTCCCTCCATGTGTGAAAAAATGAGGATCCGCGTGGTGGACTGGTGAGCTCCAAGCAGGGGTTCTAGAAGGGGCCGCCCTGAGGGCCACGGAGGCCCTGGGTTTCATTCAGCCTGGTCTGAGTGAAATGTGGTCTGTGCAGAGTGAGGGGGTGCAGGGCTGGTGGTTTGGGGACGCCGGCCCGCTGCTTGCCCACCATGTCTGTCCTGGTAGCAGATAAAGAGGGCACAGCCAGGGAGGCTGAGGGGGCTCCACCTCTGGGGACCGAGGGCTGGGAGGCTCCTGGGGAAGGTGGCCATCCATGACCTGGTGGGAGAGAGGGGTTTCATATGTCCGTGGTGACAGCGTTCCAGGGAGCAGAGGGTCGTCCACTGAGGCCTGGGAACCCAGAGAGCAGAGCTTCTGGGAGCATGGGCTATTGTCCACCAATGGGGTGGAACAGGTCAGTTTCCAGGATAGGGAATTGGGCCAGTGGCCTGAGCAGAGACAGCACTGCAGGTGTGGAGCAGGTGAGGACAAGAGCTCACGGGCATCTTAGAGAAATCTTAGCATCTCACACTCATTGAGCACCTGGCAAGCACTTCACGTGCACCATTTCCCCTGACCCTTGACTCAGTGATGGGGTCCTACTTCACGCGGCAGGGAATAGATTGGGAAAGACGGAGTGACCTGCTTGAGGGGACAGCGGGAACGTAGTAGAGGTCAGAGGTGAACCCCAGCCTGCATCTTTAACCACTAGGCCACACTGCCTCCTGCAATGTCAAGCTGATCCCTTTCACGCTTGAGGGGGACGTTCAGGGTCCACCTATGCAATCTTTAGGATACCAGGCTTTCCATAAAGAGAGCTGTCCTTTCTCTGCCCCCAAAAGTCTTGGCCGTGTGGTTCCCTGGCATGCTCTTCTTTGGTCCCAGGCCCATGACACCCCCAACCAGCAGGATAATGAGAGACCAGGGAAAAACCCCCAGGCCACAGAGCCATTAAAGTGTGTGCCAGTTCCCCAGGCCTAAAGAAAACAGCTTGTGAGAATTAGAGGGAAGGGAGCAACGGGGTGGTGGAGGTGGGGGGGGAACGAGGGAGAGGCCCCCGGCTGTGACCGCGGGTATGTGCCGTGGGGAAGCGGTTTGGAGAGACCCACTTTACATCCCCAGAGCGATCCTTGCATTTCAGCTGGCGACGTGTGTGTGGTGCTGCCCGGGGCGGCTGGCGGTGCGTGCCTGGGCCCGTGTGTGCATGTGCTCGCGTGTGGATGCGGTTGTGCCCTGTGCCGTGGATGTGCTGGCCCGACTCCATGGGAGCCGTGTCAGAGGCATCGGCATACTGTACAATCCAAACACATTACCGAATCTGGTGGTTGCGTCTCTGGTTTGGGTTGAAGTGGCATTTTTATTGTGAGTCTATTTTCAGACTCGCTGTATTTTCCAAAAGCAACCCCAAGCCCCAAACCCCAACTCTTGGCCAGAAAGCATTCCTCTGTTACATGTTCCTGTCCCGAAAAGTGCTTTCTTCCCAGAAAACAGATAAACTTTTGTAATTACCTGAATCCTGGAAATATGATACAGTCCATATGGCCTTTTCTCTGAAACTTAATCTTCCTTTCAATTCTTTAAAAATTCCTTTTTTTCATTAAAAGAAAAAAAAAATGTCCCCAAAGCCACTCCCCACCACCATAAAAACAACCTCTCTCCTCCCATTCTCCTTCCTTCCTCGCCTGATTCAGAAAATCCAACTCAGAGGTCAGAAACCCAGTTCTTTTCCACGAGCTGGTATTTTCTGGGGCTGGGCGGGACAGCAGTTCAAGGATGCCATCCGCTGTCAGGTATCTGTGTCGATAATCTCAAGGAAATTCTCCTTTTCCAGTTCTTGCGCCTGTCCCTCACCAGAACAGTGATGCAGATTTGTGCTGACAGGTCACTCTTCCTCACGCAGCCCCTTTGTCCTGATGGAAAAATTTCAAAATGGGAGTTGAATCACCTTCCTGAGAAATACGAAGAGGAAGAAAGGGATCAGCAGAAATCCCTATCTCATGGGGATTTAAAAAGAAGAATAAAACCACCAGGCTCAGGTGTCTTTTGTAATGGAGCTGGGATGTACCCTCTCCAGATGCCACCCACGGCCAAACTTCACCTAGCAAGGAAAGAGGGCGTAGAAGAGGGATTGAAGGTGCACCGGAGAAACTTCCTGAAGGTCATACACAGGTCTTGCTCAGCCCAGTGTTTCTCAACCTCAGCAGATTGACCTTTGGGGCCGATAGTCCTTCACGATGGAGGTTGTTCAGTTTGCTGTAGGCTGACTAGGAACATACCTGGCTTTACCCTGTAGATGTAGGTACTGGGAAGCACCCGCTCCTCCCTCCCAAACTTAGCCAAATGTTCTCTGGGGGATCAAAACGACTAGGTTTAGAACCTCAAGTCCAACCTGCTCAGGAAGCAGCAAGTGGCTACAACCAACTTGGTTTCCATGTCAGGAATGTCAGGCCCCAAATCAAATATTGGCCATCTTTGGAAATGAATTAACTTTTTCAACCTCAGTATCCTTAGCCTGAAGTCGAGGTGAATTGTAGTACCTACCTCACGGGGCAGATGTGAGGATTAATGAGCTAGATCACATGATGGGTTGAGCACTGTGCTTGGTTTAGTAGTGGCTGAGTAAGGCTTAAATGTTAGCTGTTATTTTTATTGTTATCAAGGGAGCCGGGCATAGGGTTCAGGAGGTCGCTGGCTAATGGGGTGATCGGTCACTCTCCTACCCACAGTCCTCTACGCTGCGTGGGAAGCATGACTGGCTCCTTCCTTGCCAAGGAGCCACGTGAGCCACAGCAGGAGCACCAGAGCAGGCATCAGGACACCAGGCCTGGCTCTGCTCCTCCTTGCCGGGCTGACCTTGGGGAAGTACCTGCCCAGCTCCAAGCCTGGGTCCTGGTTATACAACAGACATGAAGATGAAAGTACTTGTTTCTTAGGGCTGTTGCAAACTCCTGGAAAGTAAAGATCAAAAGCACTCGGTCACATGGAAAGTCACACACAAAAGGGAACCATTGGCACTGGCTGATTCAAGATGGTGGCCTTGGAGTTAGTGTTTCCTGGTCTTCTCCTTGAACTTGTTATTTCTTTAGCTGCTGAAGTCTCAGCTCTGTCTGGGAATCTTGCTCTTGAGCAGCCCCCTGATGGCTCACCCTCCCTGCCTCCCGCCTCCTCCCTGTCAACCTGAGGGGTCCAGGCTGCTGGCTGAGCTGGTTGGCTGCTGAGATACCAATGGTTGGCAAGACAGACTCTTTCCCTCTAGGGGGCAGCTGTAGTGATTTCTATCCAATCTCTTCTTCCTTGGGATTACCAGGTCTCACCAACATACCTGGTGTGAAGACTGGGACTCCCCATATGTAGACAGTAGTCTAGATCCTCCTCCTGTGCTCAGGTTCTCTCTGTCCCCTTGTTCTAGGGATCGCCTTACTCACAATGATATCGTGGCCACCACCTACCTGAGTATGTCGAAAATCTCTGCCCCTGGAGGAGAGATAGAAGGTAAGTTCCACCTGCGTTCAGTTCTCTGACCCCGCAGGCTCTTTCCGTCTCACCTCTGAGTTGGAGAGTTTGCAGAAAAGGGAGGATTATAAGGTCTTTGTTATCCATTTTCCATGGAGTAGGGCTCTGGCCAGTGAGAGAGAAGCCCCGGAGACACTTAGGATGCTCCACAGTTGAATGGTAGAATGTATCACTGAGTGGTACAATGAGGGTAATCCCTTGGTAGATGACTGTGCATAGCAGTTTCTATTTTGTAATGGCTTGTATGAGTCTATTGAAAAGTAACCTATTGTTATTTTATAAAATTTTAAATAAAAAGATAACCTGAAAAAAAGTATATAAGATCTTTGTGTGAAATTACATGTTAATTACCCCCCAGTCATATATGTGGTAAATAAATCTTCTACCGCAGGCAAGAACTATTAGTATTCTGGGATCTTTCTGTGTTTATCTCTGTGTGTGTGTGTGTGTGTGTGTGTGTGTATACATAAAGGAATATAAACGTATATATTAAAAGTTGAATTGTTTTGAAAATTGCCTTTTGTCACTTGACAATACAATGTAGATGTCTTTTCATGTGATTAAATGCTTTTCTACAATCGTTTTAAGGAAACAAACATTTCATTGTGTGAATGTACCGTAATTTACACACACTAGTAAATGTTGAATATTTAACTGTTTTCTAATTTTTCTACATTATGAACAACTGGCTTTCAATGACTATTTTTGTAGCTGAATATCTGTGCAGTTCATGAGTTTTCTTTTGGATGACTATCTAGTAGTGGAATTGCTGCATCAGAGGATTTTAACATTTTTAAGGTTTTTTTTTTTTTGTCTGTATCCACATTGTCCTTTAAAAAATCTGGACTAATCTATAATCCAGTTACTCCCATAAGCTTTTTCTGTTGCATCCACATGAATGCAAGGTAAAATAATAATGTCATAAAGATCTTTGTTAATTTATTGGCTGAAAATAGTATCCAATTGTTGCCTTAATGTTCATTTCACTGATAGCTGGTGAAATGGACCAGTGTAAATTTAAAAAGACTAAAATTTATATGTGATATATATTTATATACTTTATGGCTATTCTGCTAAAAATGCATATTTTTGGTCCATATTTATGATGGTATGCTGTCTTTTTCTCATTGTTTTGTAAGAGTTCTTTCTATATGTATACAGATGTTTATTCCCCCCGTCATATATGTGGTAAATAATTCTGGAAGCTTTATTTTTACCAACTAATAGTTCTTGACCTACAGCAATTTAAATTTTTCTATAGCCAAATCTGTTAATCTTTTCCTTAGTGAATAAGGCAGGACTCTAACATTTTTTTTTTCAAAATTGTTTTTTGGTGATATACCAATACTATATTTTAAATAATTTTTCTCTACAGTGTTAAATGCTATCTTTATCACCTACTAAATTCCTAAATGTGTTCTTGGGCCTGTTTCTCAATTTTCTATTATCTTCATTTGGTATGTCTGTGTATTACTTCTTTGGTTTTGGTATCTGGGTTATGCTGGCTCTGTAAAATTAATTGGAAAGATTTTAAAGTCTTCTCTAACATCTGGAACAGTTTATATAACATAAGAATATAGTCTTTTGAGGGTTTGAAATAATTCACCCATAAAACCATATGGGCTGGGTGCCCTTTTTGAGTGGGTGTAGTAATAGCTCTTTTAAGCTTTTCAATTTCTCTTGTGATTATTGTTATTTTTAGTTTGTTGCTTTTACTCTAGCCAATTTTGATAGTTTACCTTTTTCTAGGAAAACATCATTACTTTAAATCCATTCACATACTCTTGTGCAGAGCAACCTTTTATATGTAAACAATTCTTTCTACCTGTGGTATTTTCATTTTTCTTGTTTCTATTGTGTTGGAGTTTTTTCTTGATGAGTCTTACTAGTTTTTTTTTTTAAAACTTTATCAGCTTTTGTCAATTTTATCCTGTTTAACTCTTTAGACTGATTTCACTGTTTCCTTTTTAAACTTTCTAATTTCTTCCATTTGTCTTTAATGAGTTAAATAGTTGAAGTCTTATTTCTGCCTTATATATCATGCTTAAAAGGTCTTCACCAAACGAAGGTTATATTGAACTGCTTTTAATTTTAAGTCTTTATACTTGAGTGCTCCATTCTGAATTTGTTTCAGTGTATTTTCTGAGACCAGTGTGATTTCATTCCTGTGTAGGTGGTATACATATTTTTTTTCCCCCAGAGGAGATTTTTTTTTTTGTAGGAATTTATCTCTTTCTCATAGTTTAGAAAATAACAGTCACATCATGCTTCATGACTGGGGTGACCTCTGACAAGCGCTTTGCTTGTTGATTTAATTGTCCTAACGTCTCAGAGTGTACTTACACCCACCAAGAAGGCCATGGGGTCGTCAGCCATACAATCTTAGGGGACCACTGTGTCAACTTAGTCCTTCAGGTACTGGAATGTCTCATGGGTCACTTACGGTACTTAGATCCATCTAGGTGCAAGACTGGTTTCATTATTTTTTTTCCTGAGACATGTAAATTCTTAAATATGAGTTGAGGGATGTATTAAATTCTAACATCATTCCAGGGGCTGCTGAAGGCAGGGTGGGACGGGGAAGCTGTGGTTCTGCAGCTGGCCAGCTTGGGGTCACCTTAGGCTGGTTCTGCCTCTTTGTAGCTGAGGGACTGGCTCCAGTTTCCTCTCTGTAAAACAAGGTTCTTACGGATTCCAACCTAAGGTCGTGGGAAGGATCCAGTGAGATTACAATGGTAAAGTTCTTACAGTACCTGGTAGAGAATAAACCCTAAAGTCACACTGGCTATCATTCTGCTTGACTTTTCACATCACTCATCTAATGTACTTTTCTGCATCAATTCTGCTTTCTCGGCTTTCCATGTGGCCTTAAAAGGAACTATTTATTATACACTCTTTCTTTCTTTCTTTCTTTTTTTTAAGAGAGAGTGAGAGAGGAGAGAGAGAGAGAGAGAGAGAGAGAGAGAGAGAGAGAGAGAGAGAGAGAATTTTTAATATTTATTTTTTAATTCTTGGCGGACACAACATCTTTGTTGGTATGTGGTGCTGAGGATCGAACCTGGGCCGCACGCATGCCAGGCGAGCACGCTACCGCCTGAGCCACATCCCCAGCCCTATACACTCTTTCTTGACAAACTTTCTCTTCCCTCTGTCTTTATATATTTTTCCTTTTCTTCTTTACTGCTGTCTATCCTCTCCCATAAGTTTTGCTGTGTCCACGAAGGGTACCTCTTGTTCACTATTGAGGATCCCAAACCATTTCCCAAAACATTCAGATGGAGGCTCTCCTGAACCTTACGGGTGCTGTTTCCCCGTGGTGGTGGGACTCTGTCATTCCCCTGCTGCTTTATTCACTCTTGAGCACGATCAGCTCAACACGGGGGTCCTTGCCCCGACAGGGTGCAGGTCTGTCTGTCCGTCTGCACAGATCCTTAGCGGCAGGACAGGCTAATGTGCTTAGTTCCTGGAAGACAGTAACCAGTGCTCTTGAAGTCAGTGCCTTCTCCAATCCCTTCTTCCAGGTTCTCTGAAACAGTTTTCAGACAAACCTTTTAAATATAGGAAATTTCAAACACATCCTAGAGAATTATACAACAAACTCCCAGCTACCCTCGCTCAGCTTCAACGTCTAGCGACTCTCTGCCTTTGTGAGTTCACCCTTGATACTTTGCATTGGTGGAATTCATAAAAACAACCTTCTAGAAGGAGCTGCTAAGGACTCTTGCCCCAGCTGCTCCCCTCCTGACTGAGAGAACTGCCTGTTGCAGGAGGAGGTCCTCGTCATCTGGCTCCTACAGAGGGCTGTCTGGCACGTGCAGGCGGAAGGACCTGAGGCGGGACACTGCATCATGGGGTGGTGCAGGGGTGTTCTGGCTTCCTCCCAGGTCACAACTCTTGGAATGGGAGGAGGTTGTTCTCTGGTTTTCTGACGGCTACTGTCCCTCTCTGAATCCTGGGACAGATCCCGGTACAGGCCAACATGACTTTCCTGACTATTTTCCAACAGCTGCTGCTCCATGAGGCTGACAGCATCCACCTGCTGGAGTGGATCAGTCCTCATTTCTGATGGAGATGTTGGCCTTCATCTTTTTGTGTGTGTGTCATTGTGACTATTTTTTTTAAATTAGTGCATTATAGTTGTACATAATATTGGGGTTCATTTTGACATAATTATATAAGTATGGGCTATAATTTGCTCCAATTCTGTCCCAGGTAATTCCTCTTCCCCTCTCCTTCTCACCTCCTGTGCCCTTTTCCTCTACTCTACTGGCCTTTCTTCTTGTTACTTATAATTTATTAAAAATTAATGCATCATAGATAGATACACGTACTTAGAACATTCTCATCAGATTCATTTCCTGTCCCTCCTTTCTCCCCCACTCAGTTTCCTTCCTCTACTCCGCTGATCTCTCCTCTGTTTTCTTGGGATTCCCTCACTCCTTTTCCCCTCCTATTTTGGTCTAGCTTCCACATAGGAGAGAAAACATTTGATCCTTGACTTTCTGATTCTGGCTCATTTCACTTAGCCCAAGTCCCATCCATTTACCAGCAAATGACATAATATCATTCTTCTTTCTGGCTGAGAAAACTCCATTGTGTGTGTGAGAGAGTGTGTGTGTATCTCACGTTTCCTTAGTCCATTCATGTATTGATGGGTACCTACAATGGTTCCGTAGCTTAGCTATTGTGAATTGTGCTGCTCTAAACATTGATGGGGCTGTGTCCCTGTAGTGTGCTGTTTTTAGATCTTCTGGATAAATATCAAGGAGTGGGATTGCTGGGTCATGTGGTAGTTCTATTCCTTGTCAATGGAGGAATCTCCAAACTGCTTTCCAGAGCAGTTGTACTAATTTGCAGTCTATGAACAATGTACCAGTGGGCCTTTCCCCTCCCCTAATCCTCACTGGCATGGATTATTATTTGTATGATTGATAATTGCCATTCTGACTGGAGTGAAATGAAATCTTAGTGTACTTTTGATTTGCATTTCCCTGATTGCTAGAGATGTCGAACATTCTCTCAGATATTTGTTGGCCATTTGTGTTTCTTATTTGAGAAGTATCTCTTTAGTTCTTTTGCCAGTTCATTAATTAGGTATTTGCTTTTTGCTGTTAAAATTTTTTTTTGAGTTCTACCAAAAGCATTATACAGATCCAATTCAATCCTCATCAAAATACCAACGACAGAACTAGAAAAAAAACAGTTCCAAAATTCATCTGGAGAATGAGAGACCCAGAATAGCCAAAGCAATCCCGAGCAAGAAGCGAAGCTGGAGGCACCACAATCTGGGACCTCAAATTATACTGCAGAGCGACAGTAACAAAAACAGCATGGTCTCGGCACCAAAACAGACGTGAAGTCCAATGGAATAGAATAGAAGACATGAGACACATCCACATAGATACAGTCACTGGTACTCAAAAAAAAAGTGGTAAAAACATATTTTGGAGAAAAGATAGCCTTTAAAACAAATGGTGCTGAGAAAACTAATATCCAGTAGTAGAATAGTAAAACTTGATCCTTGTCTCTGACCCTGCACAAATCAACTCAAATTGAATCAAAGACCTAAGAATCACATCATAAACTCTGCATTCTAGAAGAAAACACAATAGGCTCAACACTCCAACATATTGGCACAGGCCCTGAATTCCTTAACAAGACTCCTAAAGTCCAAGAAATAAGACCAAGAATCAATAAGTGGGATGGCATCAAATTAAAAAGCTTCTGCACAGCAAAGGGAAATATTAAGATGTGAAGAGAGAGTTTACAGAATGGGAGTAGATCTTTGCCACCTGCTCCTTAGACAAGGGATTAATATTCAGAATACATAAAGAACCCGGAAAAACTTGACATCTCCACTGTTTTAATGGGAAGGCAAGAAAGGTGTTTATGTGGCCACTAGATGGCGCTCATGTCACAGGCAACCCAGTGTGCTTCAGGGAGGTTTCCAAGAGCAGGACCATCTCCTCCCAGATGATTCTGGAAATAAAGGAGAATCTTTTTTTTTTTGCAACCAGCCAACTGGATTTTAAATATATAGTTAAATAGCTTGATCTACGTGACAATAAAAGAGTTAAACTGATTGGTTGAACTGGGCTATTCTTGGGACTGCTCAGTTTCTAAGATGTCCCTTCCTGGAGGTGGCTTTCTTTCTGAGGCCCGAGCTTCTCTCTAGTCCTGAAGCTTAGCACTTGCCTGGTTTCCTGTTCAGCTTCTTTGCTTGTCCCCTGACCCCCTCAGAACATGGCCTTCCCACGGGCTGGGGATGTGGCTCAAGTGGTAGTGTGCTCGCCTGGCATGTGTGAGGCAGTGGGTTCGATCCTCAGCACCACATAAAAATACAAGAAAGATATTGTGTCCACCTAAAGCTAAAAAATAAATACTAAAAAAAAAGAACACGTCCTTCCCACTTTCTCTTTAGTTCTTTTGTACTATTTCTCTCCTCCTCATGGGGTTCTAGCCCATCTGGGTGATTCACCACACTTGATCTCCTTACAGCTTTCAAAACCCAAACCAAACTGAACTCTAAAAACTTCTTCTCCGCATTCCCCCACTTCATGTTTCCCCAGATGATTCGGTTCAGTTAGGAGTTTTTGTTTTTGTATTCCTGTTTTTATTCCCAGTGAGGACAGGACCGAACACTAACCTCTTAAGCACTTCTGCCCATGAGTTTGCCTGGGCACACCAAAGTATTCCTTGGACCCTGTGCACCAAGGAAAAATTTCTTTTTCTTTTTCTTTTTTTCAAAAGGAGTGCTTTCCTTAGACGCAGCAGTTCTTTCGAAAGGTCACAGTCACGTGAGACCTGTGAAACCTACACGGAGTTCTTGATAACTTTACACATGTGAGAATCATGCTGTATAAATAGCACTCGTATCCTACAGTTTTTTCCATGGCTAAGAAACCCCAAGTTAGTTTCTTCTTGTCTTTGGAACGTAGATGATGTCGATTTCCCAGCAGTTTTTGGTTTCTCCTCTTGCCTGGCTCAGGCGAGTGTCAGGCAGCCAAATGCCATGGGTTTGGGGGTGTGCCGAGAGGCGGAGGGAACTGGCAGGCCGGCTGCAGGTAATGGCCTCGACTTCTCCAGGGTACATGTGTGTCCCTTGGGACTGTCTGCAGGGCTGTGGCTTGCAGGGCTTGTGGTTCATTGGGCAGGGAGGGATGCTCTGTCTTTTTCAGTTTCCCCCAGGTGAGGGAGTTGGGCTTTGCTGCTGAGGCCACAAAACTGGGAGTATTCGTCTGTGCTATGGGACTTCCAGGTCCTAGTTCCCTAGGATCAGAGAAAACACACAAAAACACTTGTGTTTTGGCAGAAAGATGATGAGGACTAAATAGAAGCTTTGTCTTGGGCGGGCTCTCTGGCCACCCTGCCCTTGACTTTCTGAGCTGTCTGCAGACACAGGGGAGAAAACCTGGGATGAGTTGTGGCACCCAGAGACCTGTGACCTGCCCTCAAGTTAGGAATCACTGGTCTCAGACGTCAGCAGGGCTATGTCTTGTTACATACTCCCAGTGCCTAGCATGGTGCCTGATTAGCCTCGCTGAATGAACAAATGGATGAATGAAAAGGAGTGCTTAGTCCACCTGGCCACCAGAGGCATGTGTAGGTCAGGTGGCTTGCAGAATTTGGGGGACATCTGTGTCTGGTTGGGTACCAGTTTGCAAGCCAGTTTGTGGGTGGGAAACCAAGTTTACCTCTGCAAGAAGCACCTGGGGATTGGAAAAATGACCTTGGCCTCATCAGCCTGAGATAACTGGCTGGATCTGTTCATAATCATTTGCAACCAGCTTAAAGTGGAATCTGTTTCCTTCCGGGGGCCCCTGGCCACTATCCTTCTTGGATCGTAGCTGTACCCGAGGAGGTCAACTTGCTGAGGTCACCTTGCTCCCCTGTGGCCAGAGGCCTGGCTCTCTCACTAATGAAAGCTGATTCCTGTGGCTATTCAAAGGACCATGAACTTGGATTTTCTGCCAGTGGGCATTTGAAGCTGAGACCTGGCCGTGGAGGGACTGGACTCACCCCCCCTGTGCCTCTGGCCTCACTTGGTTAGCCCTGTCCTCTTTTCTGGGCATCCACATTCCTCTCCTCTCCTTTCTTTCTCTGTCTGCTCATTCACAACATTTTGCTTAACCCTTGAATCTATAGGAAAAAGCAACAGGTTTTTTTTTTTTTTTTTTTTTTGGAGAAGAGTAATTGGTAAAGGTGAGCAATGCCTGAAAATCATCCCCAAGTTCACTAACATGTCCCTAGGCTTGATCATGACCTCAGACTGGTAATTACAGCTTTGCTGATTGGAGAAGGGGAAAAAAATAAGAAGAAAAGAAAAGGAATATCAGAGTCTAGGAAAGGGCAGAAATTAAGGAGAGTCAGTGGTGGAAGAAGACTGAGGCTGCTCATTCCCCTGGGGTATCTCCTACCTGCCCAGAAATGAGTGATGGATACCAAGAGCCAAAGCATTTCCTTCCTTGCTTCTATTTCTAGAATCAGTTACCAACATTTATGGGCACACCAAAGTGTTCAGAGCCTTCAGCTAGTGAACAGCATCTGTCACCATGATTTCTTGGAAGCAGTAGGTGCTAGAAGCCAGGTCCCCAGGCTCCACTGTTGTGAAAACGCAACTCTTATCTTCCGTGGCAATACTGGAAGTGACCACTAGGTGGAGATGTTGTGCCTTAAAACACCACTGCTGGGCCAGCTGGTCCCTAGTGTTAACCTGCCAGTTGGGTTTGGAGTCCTGGGTGTGCCTTGCAGCCTCACTCTGATCCCTTCATGTTTCCCTTGCTCTTTCTTTATGTCGGTACTAGGTGTTTCTCACTCATCTGGCTATAATATAGAAAAGCATATTTTATTATTAAAGTAAAAATATTATTTCTTGAATACATTGAATCATGCTGAACATATTAATCATGTTTTGGGTCCACTTTTCCGAGGGCTTACTGTGGTCCTAGGGGCTATGTCTGGCTGGGGTGGGGCTGATGATGGCTTAGTCTGTGACAAACTCCTGGCTGGGCTCGGCTGGAGCCTGGGGCCACGTCTGTTTCTCACTTAGGAGCTGTCTTTCCACCTGTCTGCCGTCTGTCCATCCACGTGCCTGTTCATGTAACCATTCCTTCACCCAGCCGTGCCCATCCTAACCCCTTTTCCATTTCTTTATGCTTCAGAGGAGCCTGCAGGTGTGGTCAAGCCTCCGCGAGCCACAGACCGTATGTTGCTGGCACCTAGGGGACCACAAGGGCTTGGGGTCTTGGGTGTCTTTTTGCTGGAGGGGTGAGGGTGTTGGAGACTGGGGAATTCTCTGATTTGCATGAGATGGGGTTGGGGGTCTGGAGCTTATCACAGGTGATTACCTCTCACCTTGGGTTGAACATGTAAATCACTTGGAATGTCTTAAAAGTAATTTCTTCCCACCCTCCCAGACCCCTTCCTACTACTGCGGGGCTGGGGCTGGGGCTGGCAGTGAGGGGTTAGGGGCATGGGGCTTCAGTGGTCCAGGTGGAGTGCAAAGTGTCTCAGGGACCGGGAGCAAGCCAGAGAGAGTGAAAAACTCTAGAAATGGAGCTCACAGGTAGATCATGATCAAGACCATCAGCACAAATGACTAGCAGTGTTCACGTGAGCTTCATTTTCCAAGACCTCCTACTTTGGTTCTCAGAGCCAGAGCCCTGAGTGTGCTGGGGTCTGGAGAGGGAGGGTGTGGAGGGTGCTCCTGGCTGAGGGGTGGGCCTGGCTCCTGCCTGTCACTGCCCTCCCTCACTTCCAGGGTCCTTGGGTCGGCTCCAGGTGCTCTTTTGCTAAGGCCATTTTTATTATCTTTTCTTGGTCCGTCCTTGTGTGGACAGGGTCATCCCAGATGGCCCTAGCTCTGCTGCCCACCTTTGGCATTCTGGAAATGTCCTCTTCCCCACTTTCTCTAAAAGGGACAAAGGGCTTGCAGGGTTTTCAGAGTCCCAGCCTGAGAAATGGAGCTATGGACATTAAAGTGACATTAATAAAAGCCTCCAGAAAAGAATCGGGATGATGTGGAGGACAGATTTCCCCTCATTGTTTAGTCTCTCCCTAAGGCTCCTCTGACCTGCTCCACTTAAAAATTGTTCATTGTATCGTGTGTGTGTGTGTGTGGGGGGGGGATCCTGGGATGGATCAAGGCCATCAGGACACAGGGGCTTGTGTCTGGGGGCTGCACTATGGGGGAGAGACCTCTAGTGAGGCCTTTCACTGGACTCCTGGCTGGCCTCCGCTGGAGCCTGGGGCCACGTCTCTTTCCCACTCTGAGAGATGGCTTCTCTGGTCCCGAGGCTCTGGGACCTCCTCTGTGCCTCCCGTGACAGTTAGGTCTAGGGCCGTTATTATTTATATATTTATGGTGCCTGCAGGGAACCTGAGGGCCAGGGATGGGCTCAGGTCTGAAGGTGGCTGGGTTGAGCCCTAGAAAGCCCCACGGGCCGGCGCCTCTGATCCCTGCTTCTGTCTTCCAGTGGATGACAATCTGGGCTTCCTCCCCACCTTCGGGCCCTGCTATGTGAACCTCTATGGGAGCCCCAGGGAGTTCACAGGCTTCCCGGACCCATATGCAGAGCTCAACATGGGCAAGGTGAGCTGCTGGAGCACCAGGCCCCCAGGCCCCTCGGGTGCCCAGGCTGGCCTGTGGGGGTCTTCCAGCCTGGCCTGCAGCATCTAGGCCCAGCCTAGACTCCAGGGTCAGCGGACATCCCTTCAGAGAATTCTCCTTCTGTCTGGCCCGGTCCTGGCTCTTTCTTCCTGCATGTCCCCCTCTGCCTGTGCCTCAGGAGCGCTCTGATCTTTTCACGGTCCTGGTCCCTTAGACACTCAGGCCACACCCCTCTCAGGTTTTACCCCCTGGGGTTGGTTGGAGGCTGGCACAGACCATCTGCTCGGTGACTTGGCAGAGTCCTGGAACTCTCTGGGCCGTGACATCCTCACCTACAGTCACGGGTTGGCCCAGGAATCTCCTGGGAGGTGAACTGAGTGCTAGATAGTCCCCCTTTCCTTCTCTTCCTCCCCCCCTTGACCCCTCATCTTTGTGACCGACCTCCCCTCACAGGGGGAGGGCGTGGCCTACCGAGGCCGGCTTCTGGTGTCCCTGGAGACCAGGCTGGTAGAGCAGCACAGTGAGCAGAAGGTGGAGGACCTCCCCGCGGACGACATCCTCCGGGTGGAGGTGAGGGGCACTCTGGGAGAAGGGCGGGTCCCTGCTGGGGACGGACAGGGCAAGGTGACCAAGTGGGTGTCATGGCAGAGGGAGGACTCCGTTCTGCCTCATGCTCATCGGGCCTTCACCTCTCTGGGCCTCAGCATCTCGGGTGTCAACCGGGAATCATTCAACACCTACCCTGCGCCCTGGGAGGAATGTTCAGAGGCTTAAAGAAGAAAAATGAAAATGTACGGAAAGCCCAGAGCTCAATGCAAAATGAGCCGCTGTTCTGTAATAATGATGTAGACATTTGAAGTCGACTAAACAATGACCATGTGTCAGATATCGTGCTAGCGATCCTTCTGATGTCCCCAAGTCTTCCTAGAACCCTGTGAGGTCTCCGTTGTTATTGCCTCCATTTTATAGAGGAGGAAACTGAGGCTCAGATATATCAGAGCAACCAATGGTAGAACTGGGCCCCTGAGTCCTGGCTCTACCACTTACCAGCTGTATCAGTTTTCCTCTCTGTAAGGTGGGCATAATAATGACAAGATTGTGGGAACACGTGAACTAATGTATGCATGCAAGAAGCACTTGCTCTCAACATGCTCCTAAAACCTGATAGTAGTTTAATCCCTCTTCGCTCTGCCATGAAGGGAATCAAAAAGTCACGTTGGTTCAAGTCACATGTGACTGAGTGCCTACCATGTCCTCAGCCCTGTTCCGAGAGAGGACAGTGAGATTCACTGCTCCCAAGCCTGTGGCCGAGAGTGCCGCAGAGCTGGCTGGCGTGGTGGGGGGCAGGAGCTCTGGGCAGTGACCTGGTGGTTTAGAGCGTTAAACTCACTGAGTGGCGGGGGTGGTTCCAGGCTGCCCCGAGGGGCACCGCGGGAGCCCTTACTTGGCTGACGTGGTGATGCCGTTGCTGCTGGTTCGGATTAAGGAGCAGCACGACCTTGGGGGAGCAGATCTTATTGGGAAAATGTGGCCAAACACACAGACCTGGCATGCGTTCATTCAGTCAGTAACCAAAGCTCGATGCTGTTTCTGAGTTGGACCGATTTGCCCGTCATCAGTCCAGCCTGGAGTCTCCGGGTGCTGGTCACGGCCAGGGCCTGCCAGACACGTGACCCTCCTTTACCTTGGGTGTCTTCATCGTGACCCTCCTGCCCGCTCTCTGCCCTCAGAAGTACCTCCGGAGGCGCAAGTACTCCCTCTTTGCCGCCTTCTACTCGGCTTCCATGCTGCAGGACGTGGACGATGCCATCCAGTTTGAGGTCAGCATCGGGAACTACGGGAACAAGTTCGACAACACCTGCCTGCCGCTGGCTTCCACCACCCAGTACAGCCGGGCGGTCTTTGACGGTGAGGCCCGAGATTTGGCTCCTGGATGAGACCTGGATCACAGAGCGGAGGCCGCACCCCGAGTCCTGCCTCCTGTGCAAGGCTGCGGGAGGCTCCAGGCACCGGCCCTGGCAGACTGTTTGGGGTGACCCCAGCTCTGCTGCCTGTGCTGCCTCCCGCGGTGCCTCTGCAGGTGGGGCCCCGCTGCCAGAGCCCACAGCCCGACTCCTGAAGTAGCTGTGGTTCATTGATCCTGACCCAACCCCATCATTATACGCCATTCGGAGTCTGCTGAGCTTGGCTTGGAGACTTGGGAGATGTGGGCTGGGATTTCCCTGCGGGGCCTGCTAACCACCCCTCTGTTTGATGTGCTCAGGAGCCCCAGGGAACCACAGCTGACTGGGGGAGCTCAGGCAGCTGGTTTGGATGTTGGGGAACACAGATCACACCATGTGTGTCCCAGGGGGTTCTTAGGAGGGAAGGGGGAACCGGCACCTGTCTCCCTCACACCCTTGGTACCCTTCCCAGTGATGCCAGTTGCAGCCCTGAGTGTCCGGGGGTCTGAGCTCTGCAGAGCTGTGTGCCACCTGCCCTTGGCTTCTGCCTGGTACTCAACCCCCTCTGCCCTCCAGGGTGCCACTACTACTACTTACCCTGGGGCAACGTGAAGCCTGTGGTGGTGCTGTCATCCTACTGGGAGGACATTAGTCACAGAGTGGAGACTCAGAACCAGCTGCTCAGGATTGCTGACCGACTGGTGAGTGGAGGCCTGCCTCAAGCTATGTGCATGGCCCCTGCCCTGCCCTGGGTGTCTGCAGACTTGTCCACCGGCAGTGTGTCTGCGTATGTATGTGTGCGTGTGTGCGCACACACACACACACACACACACACACACACACACACACTACTATGCCCAGTCCTCTCTGTGTCCTGCAAAGTTAGGCTTGTGGTCCTGTCCTGCATGCTGGGAGGAGGAGGTCACAACAGTTCTGGGAAGCACCAGTCTGATGTGGGAGAAAACAGAGAAAGAGAGAGGGAGGGGGAGAGACAGACAGACAGACAGGAGAGGGCTGAGAAGGACAGAGCTCAGCGCTGATCCACATCAGATGCCTTTTGACTCAGCACACCCAAGAGCTGGTGCTAGAAACTTCTTGCTAGAAGCCAGAAACTCAAAGTGAACAGAGAGCTGCCCCATCCTCAGGAGACTGGTGTGGTAAAGGAGGGTGAGGGCTCTACAAGCCTCTCACCCTGAAGCTTCAGGGTGGCAGAGGGAGAGGCGTGGGGCTCAGAGGAGAGCTGCCGGGGAGCACCGGGAGGTGTGGCAGGCACTCGAAGGGCCCCTGTCCAGTGGGAGGACATGGGAAGTGGGAGCTCAGATGGGGTCCCGGGAGGCCAAGGGAGGGGAGAAGGCGGTTGGAGAGGTCTGGGCATATCTGTGGATGAGCACAGGTGGAAAGAGGGGCTGGAAGGAGTGCAGGCCAAGGTGAGCCACCATAGTGCCTATCACTTCCTTGAGACTGGTGGTTCTAGGGGGAAGGAAGACCAGCAAAGACCAAGAGGAGGAGAATTCAGAGTTGACAGGGAATAAGAAACGACTGTTCTGATCTGTCATTGTCTGCAGACTTCAAGAGAGCAGGGACTGTGTTTTCTATCTATCTAGTGTCCATCCTTAGGCTGGTGGTGCTGGGCCAAAGTACCCTTCAAGAAGGCTGATGGATGGGGAGGGATGCATGGTGGACTGAGGGACAGTCTTGGGCCTGACGACGTGTTCCAAGAACAATCTCCACCTTCTGGCTTGGGGCTGAACCCATGGAGAGGTCTGGGGAAGAGCGCCAGGAGGGGGCGAGGTGAAGTTCAGCCAAAGTCCAGGCCAAGGGGGTTTGGAGAAGGCCTCCCCGTGATTGGAGGTAGCTGAACTGCTCCTGGGGGTCAGTAGTAGAAACCTTCAAAGGAAAGAGGTTCCAGGCTCAGAGAGGGCCACTCGCCCACGGGAAGTCAGACCTGGCTGGAAGGTGCTGGGTGAGGAGCAGGCTGCATTCCGATCCATTGAGGGCCACAGAGGGCACGTGAGCTTCTCGCGTTTGTGTGGGGCTGAAGTTTCCACCTTGGGAATTGTGGGGAATCCGGAAGGTTCTTGGGCCAGGCCAGTGCTGGTTGGTTGGGTCTGGGCTCTGCTTTCTCTGTTTAATCCTTTTTGGTTCAGGGCCTGGGAGTTGGGTCCAGTATATACCTTCTGTTCCATGGTGACACTCCTGACCCTTGCCTGCCTGTTCCACAGGAAGCTGGCCTGGAGCAGGTCCACCTGGCCCTGAAGGCCCAGTGTTCCACTGAGGACATGGACTCCCTGGTGACTCAGCTGATGGATGAGCTCATTGCAGACTGCAGGTAGGGGGTACCTGATGCCCATGGTGCCTGCTCGGCAGGACCAGTTCCCCGGGAGTGTTCGTGTGTGGCAGTGAGTGGCCGCACGTCTCCCAGCCACGCTTGGCCAGCAGTCCGGCCCGTGCTGAGTCCAAAGGTGGTAGAGTCAGCGCGGGGAGTTGAAAAGGTGACATTTAGAGCAGGTCATAAATCTCCCACAGCAGCGGCAGCTGTGGGCGGGGGCGGCCCTGCTCACCTGAATGGGGAGCATTGTGTCTCTGATCCCCGACCTCTTATTTCCCTGATGGAATCTCCAGGAGAAGCTGGTGGAGGGTGGGGGCGGGGGTGGGGGAACGGCGCCCCTCCTTCCCCCAAGGCCATGTCGGGACCACAGTTTCTGTTTAGCCTTCTATTGACACGACTGATTGTCAACTTCAGGAAGAGGGGGTCTTGGGAGTGATGGAGAACAGAGGTGCCGAGGCCCAGCAGAGGGGACACATCCCAGCATCTTTTCAACTGCTGGCTGGGTTTGGGAGAGCCACTCCAAAGGGAGCTTTGAACTTCAACTTACCATGAAGAATAACTAACTTTATAATAAGTTTGTAACATCTTGTAGAGAAAGTGCCAGGAAGTTAGGAAGAACTTAATCTCGGTAGCTGTCATTATTGTTCAGAAGAAGAGATGGCTGGAGACCTAGGTCCTGGTCCCTTTAACTAGCTTTGTGACTTTAGGTAGCGCCACTTCTCCGGACCTCAGTTTCTCAGCTGTTAAATGGCCTTAATAAGCAGTTGCCCTTCTCCTTTCTGTGGGGTTAAGTGTGAGTATGTGCAAATGTCGCCTGTGCCCCTCCCCCTCTGGGCCTCACTCATCACCCTCCCCGACAGCTCCTGTGCGGGGACCCTGGCAACCATGCCGCCTGCCACAGCGCCCCTTCCGGTCCTTTATACCCCGTGAGGAAGTGTATCTTTATCAAAGTGTTACCCCAAGACTCCCCCTCATGTGGGCGGGTGGAATTCCAGACAGGTCATTCATCCATTCTCCGAAGCTTCTGGAAGCCTGGCAGGCTGAGTGCCAAGCACATTGACAAGGCGCAATGTCAGCCCTCTGCGGGGGTGATGGATGCAAAAATGAAACATGAAGTGAGCGTGCCTGGGAGGGAGAGCCCGCGCTGTGGCAGCTCTGAGCAGGTGCATCTAATTCCAACAAATCCCGTCCAGGGAAGCTTCCCAGAGCAGGGCTGGCCCATGTGAACCTGGAGGGGGAGGAGAGGGGACTGCCCAAGCAGAGACTCAGAAGCCTGAACTTCAGAAGCTGGAACCAGGCTGCCTCCAGGGGTGTGAGGGAGAAGCTGATGCCCCACAGGGTGGGCCTGAGGGGCCTGCTGGAGCTCAGGTGGTTGGCGATAGGGGCTGGGATTTGGATGTTCGTTCTGGCTGTAGGATGAGGATGGAGTGGTGGTGGTGGTGGTGACATGTGGGTGCTGGGGGCCCAGGTGAAGGGAGAGTGGACATAAGGCTGTGTGGGTGAGTTGTGACAAGGCCACTGAGGTCCTAGGCTGGGATAGGTGGGGCCCGAGGGAAGCAGGGGGCAGCGTGGACACTCTAGGAGGCACTGTGATGACAGCCTCCTGTCGTGCCAGGCACCATTCTCAGGGTTTTTGCATGTATTAACTAATCATCACAGTAGGAAGCAGAATGATCCCCATCGTGCCCATGAGGAAACTGAGTCATGGGGAGGTTGATTAACTGCCCAGATTCACATGCCATGTATGTGGGGGAGCCCCTTGGTGTACTGTTCTATCACGGACAGAATTTGACAGTGGATTGGATATGGAGGCCAAAGAAGGGTCCAGAAAGGACCCCTGCTCTGGGAAGGGCAGCTGTGTGGGTGTTGGGGCCATTCTCTAGGAAGTGAGAAGCAGGCAGAGGGGCGATGAGGTTTCAGGACAGGCGGTGTGCAGGGGAGGACATCTGTGAGGAACCTGGCTTGGGGTCTGGGAGGAGGAAGATGAGATGGGCTGGCAGGGCATGCAAGGCATGGTCAGCACAGGGGTGGGCTGCAGCTGTGGGGTGGGCTCACAGGCGGTCCCTGTATCCCACCAGCTCACACCTGCAGAATGTGTCCCATGGCACAGCCTGGGGGCTAGGGGGACAGGACTAGAGTTTTCCCTGTAGTGCTTCTCCTGACTCAAAAGGGGCAGACCTTGGCAGGTCTACGGTGCCTGGAACATTTGAAACCCAGGTCCTGGACTGCCTGAAGTGCCCTCCTCTGAACTCTGCTCTTTGGAGGATTTGGCTGAAAGCACTTCTGCCATATCTGGCCCTTGGAGTTTCTACCCTGGGGGTAGCAGGGTGGCCAGGTCCTTCCAGGGATATGGGTACCAGCTCAGGAGCTTGGGAGGGGAGCTGGGTTCCCAACCTCCTGGGAATGCACACAAGTGGGTCTCCAGAGGAGGAATTCAGGCATCAGGACTGATTCTTTCAGGTCTCCCCTGATGTTACGGAGCAGCCCTGGGGCCTCAGTGAGAGGCCTTCCTCCTGCTCTGCCACTGAGCACAGACCCAGCTGACAAGCAAGGTATCCAGCTACCTCGTCCCCAAGCCAGGGTGCCAGAGCTGACCACAGCTGCTCGCCGATTCTCTCAGCGGAGCTGCCCCCATCTCCAGCATCAGTGCCCCTTGTTCCAGCCCAGGCCCAGCCAGCTCTCTCTCTGGGCTAACGGAGTCCACTTTGTATTTTCTGGCCAGCCTTCTCCTCTGACCTCTAGACCCATGGCCCCAACAGCCGTGCTGTGTCTGTGGCTGTTCAGGCCCCGGGCACACTTTATCACCCCACCCCTTGTGTCTTCTTCTGGATTCATCATTCCCAGAACCCATGCTGGGTACTGGGCCAGCTCTGAGTGTCCCCCTTCCTCTCTCCCCCCACTAGTCGTCACTCTGCCTCTCCGCGTCCTTCCTCCTTCCTTTCTTCCCCTCCAGCCTCCTCCCTTATTGTCTTCAGGATGGTGCCATGCCCACCTCCTCGGCAGCCCCCCGCAGTGGCTCCTACTACATTGTGGCTCCTACTACATTTCGGAGAAAGTCTCAGCCCTCACCCTAGTGAGCACCCCTTTCTGTCCCCACCATCTGCCTCATGGATCCCCGTCCTTTTGCATCTCTGTGCATCCCCTCCCCACCCACACATGTTCTCCTTGCCTCTGTGCCCAAAGCTCTTCCCACTCAGCTGAGCCTGAGTAGCTCCTGTTGCCCTCCAAGGTGCGCCCTCCAAGGTGCAGGTGGGAACCACTTCTTCCAGGAGGGACTCCTGACTCTATAGGCTGCTCTGTGGGGCTGGAGACCCCTCTCTGGTTTCTCCCCTGGAGAGAGCAGGGCGGGGTCTCCTCTCTGGGTAGCCTTCAGCTCAGCTGAGGCCCAGCAGCACCATTGCTCAGAGTGAAAGGAATGACCCCAAGCCAGTTCATCTCTCAGGCTGCACACTGCCCTCCTGGTGGCTGTTCCCCTACAGTCACCCACTTGATCCTGCAAGGGCAGGCAGCAAGCAACTTGTGAGCAGCCAGCTCTGGTCTCTTCCTAGCAGATCCCTGCGCTCAGGGCCACTCAAGGTTGATTTCCAAGTCAGCCAGAGGTAGCGGGGCGTCTGCCATTGTTTTAAGGCTGGGGTGTAGCACCCCATTGCCTCGACTTGCCTGTCTCCCCTTCTTTCTGTATCGCCTGCCTTGGGCTTTCCCAGGGTGGGAGCATCTCCTTAGTGGCGCTTCACGGGTCCCGCCTGCTTCTCGGGGATTTGGGCCAGGCTGGGGCTACCATGAAAATCTCCCTCTGGTGGTCTGGAGCACAGTCCCTCCCAGCTTCCGACCCAGGCTGGGCGCATAAATCACCCCAGTTGGCTTGCGGCTCTCGTACCCTGTCGCCCGCCGCCCCCAGCCCCGCTCCGGGGCCTCACCCGGCCAGCCGGCCCGGGCAGCCCCGTCCGCGGCACCCTCGGGGCAGTAAATATTATATTACTACAGGGTGTGCAGTACGTGACCTGAGACAGGCCCCGGGGCTTAAGTTTCCCCGAGAAGGAGTTCGCCTCCTGCTCCCCCCCCACCCTAAAAATTCAATTAAAAAAAATAACAGGAAAAATGTAGTGCGCCGAGGGCTGCCAGAGTGGTGGATCTGGCGGCGGCGGTGCCGCTGCGCTCCGGCGGTAATTGGTTCTGCATAGCTCGGGGAAATTGGCAGAAAAATAAATCAGCCGGGAGCCGGGAGTCGAGACGCTGCGGGGAGGGGAGAAGGAGGGGGCGCTGCAAGCGAGCGGTGGGAGCAGACCTGGCGGCTTTGACTAATGTCCTGTTGGGGAGTCCAGGGCTCGCCCGGGGGTGGGGTGGGGGCGGGGCACCCCCATGCTCCAGCAGGGACCGGCCAGAGGGGGTCTCCTTGGTGTAGGAGCGCGTAGACGCCCCCACCCGATCCAATCCTGCGATCCTGCGTGACCCTGGCTGGTGGAGGGACCTGAGACTTGGAGCGATGTGGAGCAGCCCTAGGAAGGACTTTTAGGGAGCCCCTGCGGGATGTGGGTATATGTATGCGTGCGCATGTCAGAGGTTGAGTTTCAGCCTAACTCCACACTTGGGGCTCAGGGCAGTGTTATGAGGGCTGCATGTAGCCCCACCACCTCTCCTAAAACTTCCCCAGGCAGAGCGTCTGGGAGGGGTGTTGTGGGCCGCCCCGGGTGGACACATCTGTATTATTGGTGGCGGGCCTCCCCACAGAGTCTGCAGTGGCTTGTCAGGGGTTCATAAATTTCTCTCTTGGAGAAAGTGTGTGCACAACGCAGAAACGATTTGTTTCAGTGTAGGGCAACTTAGTGTTGGGGCCTCTGCCTAGGAGAATGCAGGGACAGGACAGACCCTCTGGGTCCTCTGAGAGCTTGCAGTCATGGGTGGAGAGGGGACACCCAGGCAAAGGCACTCATCAGACTGAGGGTTGAGGGTGAGCCCCAAACAGGTGGCCCCAGAATAAAGGGCTTCAGGCTTCAGAGTGGGAGGTAGAGGGCAGACGGGTTTGGGGAAGCTTCCTGGAGGAGCTGAGGGTCACAGAGGGGGCCATTCATGTCGATGAGGCTGGAGAAGGCACTGCGCAGACAGGCCTTCTGTTGTGGGGCTGTGCACGTGTGTACTTGTGTGTACACACATATGTGTGCTTGGACCTGGGGCAGCTTTGGCCTTTTGTCTCTCACAGCCAGCCCCTGAGTGATGTCCATGAGATACCTTCTGCCACCCACCTGGACCAGTACCTGTTCCGACTGCGTACCCGCCACCTGAGCCAAATCACTGAGGCTGCACTGGCCCTGAAGCTTGGACAAATTGAGCTCTCCGCTGCCCTGGAGCAGGCTGAGGACTGGCTCCTGCGTCTCCGCGTCCTGGCAGAGGAGGTAGTTAACCCTGCAGGGTGCTGCTGCTTTCCTTTGCTGTCCTATTGCCTGGAACATTGGAACTGGGTGTGGGGGGTGGACACTGTCTGGAGCATGATCCAACCTTGGCTCCACTGCTGGGAGGAGACCTTAGGCAGAGGACCCAATCTCTTTGAGACTCAATATTGCCATTTGCAGAAGAAGAGGAGAGGATACAACAGGATTCTGGGTGTTATGGGGCACAGCACAGAGCCAGGTATATAGGAGGTGCTCAATAAATGCCCCCAACACACTAAAGGATGGTAGAGACAGTGCTATGACCAGAATCCATGGTGTCTGGCTCTAGTTCTGGTGCTGGGCCTGCTTCTTCAGGGACCTGACTTCTTCCTGCCAACCAGTACCGTCTGTACCTGGTTTCCAACCTGCCTCTCACAGGCCCAGTGTTTCCTGCTCTCCTAGATGCCTTTGAGCCCCAGACCTGGGGAGGATGGATTGCTGTAACTCTGAACTTTGTTGTATCTTAGAATTGGCTCCAGTTTATCTTTGGGGCACCCTTTCCCAACATGCATACCCTTCCCCTGGTCTGTGAGGCCAGATGTATCTACTGAGTTCCTGGGCAGGCAGGCAAGCCAGGGGTTTGTTGAGAATGAGAAGGATCTGCTTACAGGTCATGGGCAGACACAGTTGCTGCCCACTCTGACCAGAGCCATGTGGGATCCCCAAGAAGGAGATGGAGGTGGTGAGAAGGGATGTCTCTAGAAGGGCAGGCTGGCAGAGGGCCTTCTGGAGCAGCAGGTTGACAAGAGGAAGTGGGGAAGGCTATTTAGGAAGGGGTGCTGGGCCCTGGATGCCTCCCTGGGTGGCCAGCCGACACGTGGCCAGTTCCTTGGGGACATGCTGTCTCAGCCATTGACCAGCCTGTCACAGTGGTGGGGACCATCCTGAGGTTTGGTCTCTGGCTGCATCTATAGTCTTGCCCTAGGCTGATGCTGAACAGAGCACAGATTAGAATATAGCTGGGAGGATTAAGGTCAAATGGGAGCTCTTACTGTAAGGGAGCTGGAGGGAGAGCTCTGCTCAGACTTGTGTATGCATCAGAAGCTCCAGGGTTCCTGACCCCTTCACCCCAGGTCTGGGAAGGAGCCTGAGAATTTGTGTTTCTAACAAGATCCTGGGAACTCCTGCTGCTCCTGGGGGCCACACTTTGAACCCCTGGCATGGTAGTTGGGAACACATGTCTGGAGGCAGAAAAACCTGAGTTGTCTCCTAACCTCTCTAAGCCCGATTTTTCTCACCTGTCAAATGGGGAAACTCTTCCTGCCACCTGGGCTGTCGCAGGGATTAAGTGAAACAGTGCATGTGACAGGTTAGTGAGTGCCCCAGGAGCATGGATCTTCAGCAACAGACCTGGGTAGAGAGCCAGCCCCGTGGCTCACCATCCTTGGAAGCAGATGAACCCTTTCCCAACCAGTGCTTTCTCCAGAGTGTGCAACGGGCAGTTGTCCCTCATGGCTAGAAGCCTCCAGGGCCCAGAGCCTGACCGTTCTGTTTCAAGTTAGTCCTTCTATTCCAGACCAGGCCTCAAGGGTCCCCTGTTAGAGGGAGGAGTGCCCCCTGGGAAGATGTGCACCTTCTATGGATTTGCTGCTACCCTCTGGGTTGAGGGAGGGGAGTCTGGACCCTGAAGTGCAATACTCATCCCCAAGAACATCTGCCCAGTAGATGGGATGTAAGAACTGACGCTCTGGCCCCAGCCAGGAGTGACTCTTCCTGGGAACCTATGTTCTGCTTCTGGTGGGAGCTGGGGGCAGCCTCATGCCCTGTTCTCTGGGGGATGCAAGCCACTGGAGACTCAGCCAGCCCTGGAGGTCAAAGGGAAGTCCAGGAGTTGGTGGTGTGTGGATGGAGGCTGCTGAGGAGAGGTCTTGCGGCCTCTGAGTTAGAGGTCAGCTCACAGTGCTGTGCCACTGTGAGGTGTGGGCCTGGGCATGTCACTGGTCACTGTCGCCAGCCACCCTGACGGCCACCTTTTCTCCAGCCCCAGAACAGCTTGCCGGACATCATCATCTGGATGCTGCAGGGAGACAAGCGTGTAGCCTACCAGCGGGTGCCGGCTCATGAAGTCCTCTTTTCCCGACGCGGGGCCAGCTACTGTGGCAAGAATTGTGGGAAGCTGCAGACCATTTTTCTGAAAGTGAGTTTTCCTCTCTCCAGGTCAGGATCGCAGTTCTCAACTCAAAGCTTTCCTCCTACTTCATCCCTTTCCTGTTCCTGTCCTGGACCTGTGGTTCTGGTCCTGGAAGAGAAGGCACTTTGGTCAAAATGACTTTTGGTTTTCCTCTGTTCCTCACAAAGTCCCCAGAATCCATGCTTATGGTCTAGAAGGTGCGAACGTTGGAGCTGGAATCATAGGCCCCTGGGAATGAATGAGGAGGAGTCTGTGGCCCCAGGCTGTGAGGGCGGGTTGCAGATCTCTGAGGCTGTTCTTGCCCTGTAGGGCAGGTCCCTTGTAGAGAGGGCCTGGCCACCAGCCGTCCACATCCTGGCACAGACCTCTCGCTGCACACCCTGCACGACTCCCCGCCTCTACTCCAGCAGGAGCCCTGCTGGGGTTCAAGTTCTTCACTGCTGGGAAGGTTGGTGTCTGGGGCTTGGGTTGTGCCTGTGACTCAGAACCCTCAGAGGGAGCAAGGACTCCTGCCCTCAGTCTCACCCAGCCTGCCCTCTCCTTCCTTTCCTCCTCTTCTAGCACCCCAGCCTGCTCCCTCCGCATCTTCTCTTGGGGGACCCACCAGCCTTGGTGATAGGGAGGTGACCCAGTGTTTGGGGAGAGGCCGCTTACCCTCCTGGGTTAATATGGGGACCCAGGGCCAAGGCTGTTTTGGTCAGGGGACTGTGGCCTGGTGGTCAGAACACAGTGGGAATTCCCCCCTGAGCTGTGGCCCTGCAGGCCCAAGGGGAAGGCCCCTCTGTGAAGCTGCCATTCAGGCTGCCCTGCTAGAGGCTGAATGGCCAGGAAGTAGGCCTACTCTGCCTCTTCCTGTTCCATCTGCAGTCAGGGCCTAGCCAGCCTCAGCTGCCTCCTTTACCCCAGCCTGGTCCAACTTCCCATAGCCCCTTTGCTTCCCCACATCTCTCCTCCCACCTCATCTCTTTCAGTAAGTCATTGTTGATCAACCTTAGCCTTGAACCTTCTGAGTAGAGCCCTCTGTGCTCTTGACCCCTTCATGTACTGGCCAGTCATTCTTATTGCTCGCTAGTATGGGTGGAGATGACAGGCTTTAGCTGGGCAGTGTGTACAATTATTTCTAGGTCTGACGGGTCCTCTGTGTGGCCTTGGGCATGTTGCCTAACCTCTCTGAATTTCCCATTTTCTTCTCACCTATACCATGAGGATAAGGCTGTCAACTTCATAGGTTTTGAGGACTGAATTAGATAACCCAGGCAATGGATCTTGCTGCACCTAGGTGACCAATGGATATTGGTGTCTGCCCTCTTCTTCCCTTTTCCTGTGGTAGAGATCCCATGCTCCATAGGAACCTGGATTAGAGGCCAACCCCTGGGCAGGGATGGGCGTATCTGCAAGGGTACTTCAGAGGAGAAGCCAGCTTTGCCAAGAAGGGAGGAGTGTGTGTGTGTGTGTGTGTGTGTGTGTGTGTGTGTGTGTATGTGTGTGTGTGTGTGTTGGGCAGGAGACTACCCACGGTCTGCTCAGATGTTACCTGGGGCACGTCCCTCGTGTGATCCTAACCTCTAGGTCTGACCAGGAATCTCCCTCCTAAGCCAGTTCTCTGCTCATGGGGCAGAAAGGAGAGGAAATGGAGGAGTGGCCCCATCTGGGGGGCTGGCCAGGGAAGGCTGTGTGCTGAGAGTCGAAGTGTGGACACAGAGGCACACCTGGGGGCCTTCCTGGGACAGATTGAGTTCTGGCTCTGACCTCTTGGCCCTGTAGCCACAGCCAAATGCAAACTGAAAATTTTCCCTGATTCTAAGCAAGGAAAAAAAAAAAAAAAAAAAAGAAAGATACAGAATTGTTTCTCGAAGTCTTCCCCACTGAGTTTATGAGGCCCGCCAGTAGCTCCTGAGCAAGCTCTACAAAAATGTTGGCAGCCAGCAGAGACCAAGAAAACATTGGTGTTTCTTAACTTAAACCAAAGTTGGAAAAAATGAGCACCAGCAGAGAGGGAGAGGAGCCCCAAACTAGACATTTCTTTATTTGCTGTTGCTATTTTGGGTCGGGCAGGCTGGCCCTGTCTGGGGGAGGGCAAGGGAGAGAGCTGGGGGTGGGTGGGGGAGGGGGGCCAGGCATTCCTGCCATCTCCCTGGGGCTGGTGGTTTGGAGGGGAAAAGGCAGCTAACCACCCCCGGGACAGGACAGCTGAAGCCATCAGCTGTGGGGAGGTTTCCAGGGGGTGACACGTGGGATCAGGGGCTCCTTCAGGCTTCACCAGGATGAACCGAAGCAGAGGGTCTGGGATGTGTGAGATGGTGGCTGCCCAGGCCTGGCCAGCAACACTTCCTGTGCTGGACTGACTCCCGCTAGGGGTCCAGCCCTCCCCACCAGCTGGGGACCTTGCCCTTGGCTTCCCACTCTTGGTCTGAACCCCCAGTGCTTCCTGTTCCTCCCTCTTGACTCCCTGTCCTGGAGGACAGACTCTTCTGAGCTCGTGCACATGGGGCCTAGGTACTGTATGGGGACCGGGTGTTATTTATTCGAAGAGTGAGAGACTTCTGTTTCTCACTCCACATCTCACTTTGGGCTTTAGTCAAATGGTGAAGTGATCATAGAAAATGTTTATTTTTTTTTAGGTTGGATTATTGCGGTTATTCAATTTTGGCAGAGTGTCTGAAGGTTTCGGGATTAAAAGCACTTGAAGACCCGTAAATAGTGGTTAACATGCTGATAAGCATTTGAAAATGTAGGGGTATTAGATGGTACACTAACGTCTGGCTAAAATACGAAATACGGAGAACGAAATGAAATGGCCTTAATTTCTTCCTCTTCCAGGCCTGTGTCATCATCGTGTTTCCTTTAAAGACAAATTCTAGGACGGTTCTGTCTCAGAGGGTAGCCACATCTGGCTCTTTAAATTTAAATTAATTGAATCAAATAATTCAATCCCTCGGTCACACCAGCCACAGTTCAAGTGCTCATTAGCCACATGGGACTTGTGGCTACCCTATTGGACAGTGCAGAGAGAAACTATTTTCCACTGTCGCAGAAGATTCCATAAGACAGTGCTATTCTGAAGAGAATGGGATTGAGGGAAATGGAACTGTGAGAGAAGGGGAAGATGAAGGACGCTGGCAGGGGAGAGTCCTTATCCATTCCAGTCCAGTTCCCTGAAATTCTAAGTTGTCCCATAGGCATTGGTCAACATTGAGGGGCTATTGAGCTGGTATGTCCAAACCTGGAGGACCCCAGTCCCCACCCCAGTTGGGACATCCTGATCCTGAAAGGGAATGCGAGTTTCTATCCTTCTCTGTTGCCTAGTATCCCATGGAGAAGGTACCTGGGGCCCGGATGCCTGTGCAGATACGAGTCAAGCTCTGGTTCGGGCTTTCTGTGGATGAGAAGGAGTTCAACCAGTTTGCCGAGGGCAAGCTGTCTGTCTTTGCTGAAACTGTGAGTGCCCACCAGCTGGCCCCTGCCTCCCCCTGAACCTGCGGGACCTGCCGCAGCCCAACGTACTCCTCTTTCTCCCTCCAGTATGAGAACCAGACCAAGCTGGCCCTGGTGGGGAACTGGGGCACCACGGGCCTCACCTACCCCAAGTTTTCTGATGTCAGGGGCAAGATCAAGTTACCCAAAGACAGCTTCCGCCCCTCTGCTGGCTGGGCCTGGGCTGGAGATTGGTTCGTGTGTCCAGAAAAGACGTGAGTTGCGGGCAGGGTAGTCTTGTGAGGGTGGGCTGCCCACCAGCCACCGTCACCTCTGCCCCAGCCCTTTCTCTCAGAGTCCCCAGCTCTGTCAACTCCTCTGCCTCCTGCTACCCTGGTCACTAGAACTGGGGCTCTCCCAGGACTTGGGCTCACTCTACAGTGTTCCTTCTGGAAGCTCTCTAACACGGAGAAGGCCCTTTGTTACGAAGCCCCCGTTTGACTTGGCCTTGTCCTCCGTGACACCAGGGACAAGCTCTTTCTGCTCCTCATGGAATGGAATAATTCTTGGGTTGCAGGCAGCTCACATGTGCCCCCAGTGGTCCCTCCCAGATCGACATCATCTTTCTCCATCCATGTGTTGCCATCTCTGCCTCTTCCCCTGTCTCTCTTCCCGTTTGGTTGATGTTTGGGAATTTTTTAAAAAAAATAAATGATATAATCTAAAGTCAAGCACTCGGATCTTAAGTGTGCAGTTAGATAACACCTTATATTTCTAGGACTATCTGTTGTGCTTCACTACCCACCCAGCTTTTGATGCCTTTGACTGGCCCCCCGTCTCTTTCTTTATCTTGGGTGATATATTCTTTTCGCCACGCACGAGGTGTCCCTGGGTCTTCTTTTGTTCTGGTCTCTCACACCCTCCCCTCTGTCTGTCTTGGAGTGAGGCTGATGTGCAGCTTGGCCAAGGCAGGGTGCTCTCCTGGAGGTGATGGGCGGATGGGGGCCTCTGCAGCAGCAGTTCTGACGGGCCTCCCCCGTAGCTTGCTCCATGATGCTGATGCTGGTCACCTGAGCTTCGTGGAGGAGGTGTTTGAGAACCAGACCCGGCTACCCGGGGGCCAGTGGATCTACATGAGTGACAACTACACTGATGTGGTAAGGGGGTGGACCCACTGTCCAGGACTCTAGGGAGAGCTGCCCCACCTGCCCCAGGAGGGGCCTATGGCTCAGAGAAGGCCGGGGCAACTTCTGCCCTGCTCCCACCTGCTGAGTCTCCACGTCCTGGGTTCTAGAAGAATAGGAGTCCTGAGTCACATGGGTCTCGGGGGCTCTGCCCTTCTGTCTGGGGCTTCTTTTCTGGGCCCCTGCTGAAGTCTGTCTGATTTTCTCACATTTGCCTTTCCTGATTTGTCCCTAGAATGGAGAGAAGGTGCTTCCGAAGGATGACATTGAGTGCCCACTGGGGTGGAAGTGGGAAGATGAGGAATGGTCCACGGACCTCAACCGGGCTGTCGATGAACAAGGTGGGTCACCTGTACAGCCTGGTGAGCCCCCCACATCCTGGTGAGCTTGAGGAGTGCTGGTGAGGACTGCTGAGTGCCACAGCCCCTTGGCCTGGAGCACTGGCTTTCATTGTAGTCCAGCCCCTCTTCAAGTGACAAATTAGGACCAAGCGTCACTGGCTGCTTGAGTCTGTGAGCATGCTCCAGTTGAAGAGATGGCCTCAGAAGAGATGGGGAATTATCGGGCAATGGGTGACTGTTGTCCTCCCCCAGGCTGGGAGTACAGCATCACTATCCCTCCGGATCGAAAGCCGAGGCACTGGGTCCCTGCCGAGAAGATGTACTACACGCACCGACGGCGGCGCTGGGTCCGCCTGCGCAGGAGGGACCTCAGCCAGATGGAAGCACTGAACAGGGTGAGCTGATGGGGGGTAGGAACTGGGAGAGGGGCTCCTGGTTGCAGGAGGTTGGGGTACAGGTGCAGACATCTGTGCACACACAGATACATGCAGATGTGCATGTGACATGCATGGGCACTTGGGACTCATTGGAGCTGCTCACAGATCACACCCAACACACTCAGTGATCACATCCAGCACATGTACAGATGACTCCTAGTACCTAGGTTTGCAGATCCCACAGACACAGCATATCCACGTGGCATGCCTACCACAGGGGTTCACATACAGGGTTCCCCTGCAGCCCCAGCAGGTGCAGAGCTACCCCAGGAGTAGGCCCAGCTTCCTAGAAGCAGAATCCATGACATAGCTTTGGCTCCAGGCCCTAAAGACTGTGTTCTCAGGAGGGAGAGGGGAAAGGATGTGCCTTGGGGAGGGGCCCACTTTGGACCCCAGAATCCTCCTCACCTGACAGGCAAGGGGGCTGGGTTGGCATCTTCCTAGCTGTCTGTCATTGGCTGAAGGCTGCTGGGGCATGCTGGGATACAGACCTCCCCAGCATGGTGGCTCTAAGCAGGCTCTATGCAGGCAGCTGCAGGGAACTTGGAACCACCTGACATGACTGCAGGGTGCGAGCATGGGGGCTGGTGAAGGGATAAGGATGGGCTCCGTCAGCATGTACCCAAGGACAGGACCCCATCCCACAGGACACAGACAGGGCCAGAGTGTACACGTATGAGCACACATGACACATGCCCTTGCTCCAGAGTCACACAGATGCCCAAGTTCCGCATGGCCTCAGTGCCTGCCTCCCCTGGACCCTCCTGGTTCCCTCCTTCCTTCCCAAGTGCACTTTTGAATTTTGGCCCAAGAATCAGGCTTCTACCAGACTAAGTGTAGCCTTTGGCATGACCCAGGTTCCTTCCTCTCTTTTGAGCTGAGAATCTAAAGAGGAATGTCTCTGGGTCCGAGAAGAAGGAGCGTTTGGTAATTAGCTGTTGCTGCTGCTGGGAGCCAGGCACACAGTGCTCTCCCTGACGGGCTGGTTGTCAGAGGTGGGGCCTGGCCAGGCCCCTTAGCCTTGCCTCCTTCCTGGAGGGGAGGCAGCTGATCTCCAGGACTGGCCTTTGTCACTGCTTGTGGCTCTAGATAGCCTCAGGCTACTTTCTCCCAGGAGCTGGGGCGAGAGGCGTCCAGATTTCCTCTGGGGCTGGGAGAGGGGCCTCTTGGAACAAGTGCAGGGGGTCTCCACAGCTCGCCTGGATCCCACCTCCTGGGGAAACAGGATCTTTGTTTTGCCTCTGAACTGCAGGCCCACTTCTATTTTTATAAGCTGGGAATATGAAGAAAAAAAAGAAAATGACAAGAAACCCCTGGATTTATGCAACCCTCCCCTAATTCAAGTCAGCGAGCAGCCCCAGAGCCAGGGTTTCCACCACTGCTGCATCACCTTCCCTTCCTGCGGGCTCTCCTGGCAGCCACGGAGCCTCCTCTCCCCTCCTGATGTTCTCACCTAGAGGTCTTATTGCTCCAGATGCTTCTCAAAGCCCTCCTCCTCCAGGCAGCCCTCCCAGGTTTTCCTACCTGGTCTGCGCTGCTGTGGGAGTCGGTGGAGAGGCACAGCTGGGTCCTGGACGCCCCGCAGGCCTAGCAACTGGCCTCTGAGCCACCTTGTTCTCCCGTGCAGCACAGGCAGGCAGAGGCGGAGGGCGAGGGCTGGGAGTATGCCTCTCTCTTTGGCTGGAAGTTCCACCTTGAGTATCGCAAGACGGATGCCTTTCGCCGCCGACGGTGGCGCCGCCGCATGGAGCCACTGGAGAAGACGGGGCCTGCGGCTGTGTTTGCCCTCGAAGGGGCTCTGGTAGGTGGGGCTGCACCTGTCTGGGGTCTGGCTTGCTTTCCCAGGGCTTTCCAGGGGCTGATGGGGGAGGGGCATGGGAGCCCCCAGGTTAGTTTTTTTTTGGATGTGACATGGGCCAGTCACCCTGTCTGGGTGTTGTCCTAAAATAAAATAGCATCTTTCCGCTTCTTTGAGTAGTAAGTAGTCGAGAGGGAGGGGCCATCGCTTCTGATCACTGACCGGCAGGACTGCAGCCAAGGGGCCCTGATCTTCTTAAAGAGGCTGGTTGGCCTGGAGGTGGGAGGCCCAGGACACTGTAGTAGCTAGAGATGTCGGGTGACCCTGGGATGCCCTTGGCTGTCCTGAGACAGGGATTCTGCTCACAGGCTTCTCAGGTACATGGGGAGAGATGAACTTTAGCACCTGAGCCCGTGGAGTGCAGTTCTGCAACCAGTGGCACTGGAATCAGTTCCAGATTACCCAGAGTCTGGGTGATGGACTCCCCCAAAGAGATGAGCAGACGCATCCTGGAGAGTCTGAGTGGGGACCCTCAGGCCAGTGATATATAGCTTGTGCCCTGCAGATTCCCAGGGGTGGAAGTGAGTGGCCTGATGGCGGTGCCCCCTCTGAAATCGAATTGTGAACATGTGACCCCCATGGGGGCTCTGGCTGGGACCCCAGAGAGCAGGTCTCACAGCGGCACTGGCTGATGGGACATGAAGCCATCCATGGGAAGCCAGCCACATGTGCCTGTGTGTGTCTAATGGACACCAAGGACATAGCCATGGTGTGGCCTAGACTCCAGGGCTGAGAGGCTGCAGGGGGTGAGCCCAGGATCTGATGGGAGTCGAAGCCAGCAGTGACCATGAGGGAGCGAGCAGAGGTCTGCCACTCTCAGGCCTTGATGGTGAGCCAGGCCCAGCCATGGGAAGAGGAGCGGAAACCCTCCACTGGTCAGATCATGTCTGAGAAGCCGTGGGCTCCAGAGGAAGCCTGCTCTCTAGTTCCTGGGCCAAGTCTTGGGGAGGTTGAGGGGAGACAGCAGGGCCTGGGCTCTCTGGCTGCTGAACTGGTCCTCAGGCCAGCTCAGGAGCAAGGTAGGAGGGAGCAGGGCTGCTGTTTGGTGACCCCTTTTGTCCTGAGTCAGAAAGGGCTTGGCCCAGGACTGGGCAGGGCCTGGGACAGTCACGTGACTCCAACTGAGCATGGTGGGAAAAGACCTCCAGGAAGGCCTGGGTCTCGGTCAGGCGGGGTCTGGTTCGGCCAGGCAGACACCGTGAGTAACCAGGACTTGCTTCCATCAAAGGGAGACTCAACTCATTTGGGCTAAAGAGACTAGGGGGTTTATGGGCCCTCTTAGCCGGGAAGCACCCAGAAGGTAGGCAAGGCGTCAGGGGGCAGGAGATCCAGGTTCGCATGGTGTCCCCAGGACTCGCACCTGCCTTGGCCTCGTCTCATATTGGCTGTAATCTCCCTGGTGGCAAAGAGGATGCTGGTGACCAGAGGCTGACCTCCTCCTGACAGCCCACGAAGCCCTGCTCCATCAGCTAGTACAGCCCACCTCCCCGCTGGAGACCCCAGAGGGCGGCTTTCTCAAAAGTGCTAGTAAAAGTCTCCAAGCGACTGGCTCCACCTGGTCATGTACCTGAGCCAGGCCCTGCTCCTGGGGGAATGGAGGGTTCCGATTGGCCATCCGGGTCCGTGGCCCTGCTCTATGATGGACAGTACCACTGCCAGGAGAGAGGAGCTTCTGAAAACAGAGCTGGGCAAAGAGCTCAGATGGCAGCAGCGCAGTGCTCCTCAGTGGGCTGTGGGGAGCCACTGTGGGGGGTGGGGCAGCGGCGCGCTCTGGTCAGAACTGAACTTTGGGAGCGCCTGTCATGGTGGAGAGGGAGAATGCCCATCGGGGCCGTCAGGAGTTTTGGGCAGAGGGAGATGGAGTGGTAGGAGGGGAAGAATGAAAGGGTAGATGGAGGGGCACCACTGGTGGGCCTGGGGCTACAGTGAGTTCTCGGCTGGCCCTGACACACACACGGGTAGTGCTGTGTGAATACAGATCTGGCGGGTGCCTGCCAGGTGGCCTGAGGCAGGGAGGTGGGAGTGTGGGGGCTGAGCATCAGCTGGGAGGGGATGGGGCCAGGAAGGGAGGGGGGGTGCAAGGCCAGAGGTGCCCCGAGACTCATGGATGGGAGTGTGGATGGGTGCTGGGGCAGGTTGGACCTGGAGGAGGAAGGTGAGGAAGGCTGGGGACCCGCTGCCAAGCTTTCGTGGCTCAATGACTGGGAGAATGGGGGAGCCTTTCCCAGAAACGGAGAAAGCAACTCTTTTATTCATTATGTGGGAGAAAATGTCACCAGACATCGTGGCAATCAAGTGTCAAGTCGACAAAGGGGAAGTGATGGATTACAATTCAAATGTGACCTGGCTGTGGCTGTAATATGCAGGAGAAGCCAGAGGCTGCCGCCAAGTCCTCTGAGTCCTGGGAGAATGGGGGCTGCAGCAGAGAACAGAGGGAGCCAGTGGTTTGGGAGGGTGCATCCCACATACCTGGAGTGGGAAGACCGCAGAGTTTTGGAAAGTCCTAGGTGTGTCCAGCATTTGGACAGAGACACAGGCCCATTTGACAATAACTGTCTAGACCATACTCTGAGTGAGCTGAGCCCCTATCAGCCCCAACACACATCCTCCCTCCCCCCACGAACACACTCCTCTCTCCCAGTCACCTTTACACACTTCCTGCCACAACAAGGGCTAGTCTGGGCTCTTTCCTTGAGCCCCACTGTCCTTGCCCTGGACATACTGATGCCCCAGTGAGTGACTGGGTCTAAAGCCCATCTCACATCTTGGGACAGATGGTCCCAAGATTTTCTGGTGCCAGGACCCTGCTGCCTTACCTGAGTGCTGGTCCTTGCTCACAGTGTCAATGTCATTTTGTGTGTGTGTGTGTGTGTGTGTGTGGGGTTGGGTACTGGAGGTTGAACTCAGAAGCACTGGACCACTGAGCCACATCCCCAACCCTATATTGTATTTTATTTAGAGACAGGGCCTGTCTCACTTTTGCTGAGACTGGCTTTGAACTCGAGATCCTCTTGCCTCAGCCTCCCGAGCTGCTGGGATTACAGGTGTGCGCCACTGTGCCCAGCTCCAGCGTCTCTTGATGTGCTGGTGAAAGCTTGGTGAGACGGGCAGCGCTTCTGAGCGTGCAGGTGTGCTCTGAATTCTGCTTCCTCTGCCCACAGGCTGTGGACAGGTCACTCATGCTGTTTAGGGAGTCTGTTATCTCACTCATGAAAGGAACTGCACCCTAGGGTCATGGTCAGGGTTAACAGGGACACCTGTAGAGAAGTTCTCCTCTGACTTGAACAAAGGAGCCAGTCAGGGGATCTTGTTAAAATGCAGACTCTGATTCAGTGTCCAGGCAGGTCCCCAGAGTCTCACTTCACAGAGAGAGAGGCAGGGCCTGTTCACACCTGGCTGAAGGTATGTGGCCAGCATCTTGGATAGGGAGGCAGGACCAGATGACCTGTTCTCCCTATTCCTTGATGGGACAGAAATGATATTCTCATGCTCCTCTGATCTGGCCCGTGGGGAGGGCCTGTGTGATTAGGACAAGAAATGATCACAGTGAGCTCCGGGGAGGAGCTGTGGGGAGGATGCGTGCTTCCGGGGTGACTGACTGACTGATGAGGGGCGGCTTCCTGGCGGAGGAGACTGGAGGCAGACTTTGAAGGAGCCAGGGAAGGACAGTGGGAGGGGGGCTGGTAGCCTTTCTGGTACCTTGATGTCTGGGCCCAAGGACAGGCTTGAGGATGCCCACGGCCTTCCACTACCCCTCCCCTGGCCTGTGTGTCCCCCAGAGGGCTGGGCCTGGCTGGCTAGCCCCCTTCTGGAAGACGTCGGCTTGGAAGGGAGGCCCTGTCTGCTCATTAGCACGGGCAGCCTTTCCCTGAAACCTTCGGCAGGGGCCAAGCCTGGCTCCCTCCGCGGAGCGGGAGGCCCTGGCTCCGTCTGCTAATCGTCTGCTGTCTCCATCCCGAGCATTATTTTATTTTCGTATTATTCTTTTTCCAGCTAATATCCTGGCATTCCCAAAGACACCGGGTTTCATAATCTTCCTGGCGTTCCCAGGAGTTGGGAAGCGGAGCACAAAGCCGCTATTATAGCGCGTTCCATCCAGCCTCCCTCTCCTTGCCCCACACCCCTCGCTGCCGCCGCAGCCACCACCGCCGGCTCCCACCCAGTCACCCCCTCCTGACGCCACCGGCCTCTCTGGGAACTCTGGTGACGGCTGCTGGGATGAGCTCACGGAATCTGTCCTGTCGCCCTTGCCCTGGGCCTGCCCTCCATGCGCAAGGGTTTTTCCAAGCCCTTCGGTCTGCTCAGCCCCGAGGGTTTCCTCAGGAGGCAGGAGGGGAGGAGGTGGACCAGCAACGTGTGCTCAGAGCCTTGGAGCTTTTCAGAGCTGGGAGGGACTTCCATGATTCTGAGGATGTCCTCAAACAGACTCCTGAGCTGCAGGAGAGCCTTTTGAAATCGGATGCAAAGTTATGCACGTGTGTGCAGCGCGCACAAGCGCGCAAACTGCGAGTGCGTCGTAATCTGCGTGTGTATGGTTTGCATGTGCGGGTATGTAATGGCTACATTGTGGTGTAAGGTCCTGGGTTTTATCCACCTCATTAGGGGATCCAGGACCCCAAAGGGGATAGAATCACTAAAATCTGTTTAATCACGTGCCAAAACCTAAAGTGAGACAATCTGTATTATCTCATTTTATCCTCATGGTGACCCTAGAAGGCTGGACTCTATTATTAGTCCCATTTTACAGTCAAGGAGACTGAGGCTCTAGTTGGGCACTGCCTACTACAGTAGCAACTAGTCACATGTGGCTATTTGAACGGACATCTAAAGTAATATAAAGAGAATTCAGTTCCGAGTGAGACCAGCCACATCTTGAGTGCCCAGTGGCCGCACAAGCTGGCACAGGATGGTACATCATTACAGAAAGTTCTCCTGGACAGTGC